GAATGTCCTTAATCAGATACTTTTTAATTATACTATAAATAAATATTATGACTGCAATGCTTAATGAAAAACTCTTCTGACAGTTTAAAATCAGTATATATTTGGAATCTATCAAATTTTTTTATTAATCGAATAATATTTTTCAGAAAAATATTACACTTCATACTTCTTTCAAAGTTGAGTAGTAATTTAAACATTTTAATATTAAACTTCAAGTTGACTGATATGAATTTGTGTCAAAACATTGATTATACCCTGCCGATGTTCCTTTATCAGTAATGATTATAATAAAATTGGTCAGAATTAAAGCTTATAATTAACAAAAAGACAAACTCTCTTTCTCTCACGGGTATTATCTAATTATATGAAAATAATGTATTAATTTTCTCGAGTAATTTCTTCATATAGAAGGAGGAAACAGAGGTATGTCATAAGTTAATGGAATCATTATTTTGTAACTAAAAAAAAGAAAGGAGTGTTTATAGCTTACATTCATAAGAGATATATTAAATAAAACTCTTTCATACATACAATTGACTTCAATAAAGAACTATCAAAATTTATTTTTTTCTTGAATTTATTAAATTTTTGTTTTTAAAGTTTCGAAACATTTTGTTTTTTCTATGTCATATATTATGGAAGGATAATTAGATGGTAGTTAGCTGTCTATTGCAATTGTTTACACATGAAAATATCTTAGGGAAGTAAAAGTCTCCAAGAATTTTACTTAAACCAAAAATGATGACGGGCTATATATTAGAATAAATTTTCGGTACTTCCGTACAAGAATAAATATACTACACATATTTGTAGTTTTTTCATTAAATTCTTGCAATTTATGGTTGAAACTTTCAGTGTACACTGAATAACAAGATATTTAACTAAAGTATAAATCTAAAAATAAACGACAATAGTATGGAGGATTAAGTTCGTCCCCGTCAAGAAAATCAATTTTCGCTTTTTTTTTTAGGCGACATGTTTGTTCACTTTTGATTCATTAGAAAGTATTTCCGACAAGTCAAAAGCTATGATTTTGTGATCTTTTCACATAGGAACTTGAAAATTTTGTCTCAGTTTTTGTTCAAGAATAGTGAGAAACTTTTGAAAGATCTAAGAAAATTATTTTTAATGATGATTCAATAGGCTTTTGTTTATCCTATCAAGTCCCTTTTCGAACATGCTAAAAACTGTCGGAGCCAGTCGCTTTGGGAAGTGAATACTTCTCTACAAAATTTGCCGACAGACAAAAAAAACTTCAAATAGTGCATTTTGTATGGTAGCTTCTGATCTACAAGCTGATATATAAATAAAGATTCTAACTTTTAATTTCGAATCGCAACAGTGAAAGTACAAAAATTTTCCATTCAAACTCATTTTTTTGGACTTGTCAAAGATTATTTCATTATTCTCGAACAAAAGTTTGAGATAAAATTTTTTAAGTTCATATTCGAAAGTCAAAAATGAATGTTGTCTAACAACTTTTCGTTTGCTTGTTAACTGTACGAGAGGATAGCTCGAGATGTAATCTTTCATAAGCCACATCACTTTTTTTTTTTAATTTGACATCTCGATTTTTTTTTCAAAAATTTTTCATGATTTCGAGTATTACTTATTTGAAAAGTATGCTGCTCTCAGAAATAATAACAAAACTTCCGTTTTTTTGTCTGCTTAAATTTTTTTTTTTTTATTCCGTATCTCAGAATTCTCGAAGTAGCTTCTTCATAATCAAGTACTTTTCTTCTTTGTTTGAAAGAACATGTTAATATGTAGAGTATGACAAAGCTCATTTTTCTTTGAATTAAGTTATTTTTTTTATAATTATATAAAAAAGTATTTCTATAAATAGATGACAATTTTTTGAGAGTTTTTCAAGATATTCAAATTCGTCATCCCTTTTCTCCTCTTAAAAAGTAATTTCAAAAAAAAAACAGGGCTCTGCCATATTCTGAACCGTGATATGTTCTTTCAGATAAAAATTTAAGTGCATAGAATAAAGCCTCACAGAGAATTTCGGGTTGCCAAATGAACTATGTTTGACTTTGGTTTGTTGAAAATCTTTCGATAACGTCATGCTAAAGGGCTAAAAATTTCATACAATTTGATTGTATCTAGCCAAAGATCGATATTTGAACAAGGGATCTTAGTTGAAAACATAAGCTGTATCATTAGACAATTATGATTCTTTATGAAAATAAAAATTATCTCTATTTATGAATGCAAATTGTAATTTCGAAAATATCCTGTCTTATAATTTCTTTTTTTTTGCTATAAGATTGCAGTTGACATATCTACATGTATGATGAAAAAAGCTCAAGAACGTGTCAAACAATTAGAAGAACAACATATGTCATCTGTCTCTTGGATTATTCATGATCTTAATAATGATAATAATGAACTTTCAATTAATGATTCATCAGTTGATGCTGTTATTAGTACTCTTGTTATTGAACATATTAAATCAATCGAACGATTTTTTAAAACTATATATAGAATATTAAAAAAAAATAATTATAGTTGGGTTTTTATTACAGCTATGCATCCTAATATGTATCAAGCTGGTTCACAAGCTGGTTTTACTATTGATAAAATAACTGGTGATAAATTATGTGGAATATCATTTGATCATTCTATTGAACATATCATTGAAATAGCAACCAAAACATGTTTAAAATTAATAAAATATACTGAAAAAGGTGTAGAAAATGAAGAACATGCAACAAATTTAGGTATTCGAGCTAAGAAATGGATGGGAATAAATATTCATGCTTCTTTTCTCTTTAAAATTCAAAATAATGAAATATAACATTAATATTCATTTCTTTTTTTTTTTTTGCTTTATGTTAAAAAGAAAACAAAAAGATAGGTAAAATAAAACGTTAATTCAATGAATGAAATCTTTTATATGTATTCAAATATATCTGTAATTAGTATCTGAAATGTTCACTGTAATGACATATGGCTAAATTTCAAATGCTATTCTATTCCAATATGAATGAGATTGAATAATAAAACTTTTCTTATCATTATAGTCATATCAAAAAAGATGATCATATATTTTCTTATGTCTCTTTTTAATGATTCATCAGTACAAAATTTTTCTCGTTGTATCTCACAAAACTGATGCATTTATTCGAACCTTATTGATGATACTTCGATTTGTTAATTGGATATTTTGTTTTTTGTGCTGGAGAATAATTATCCTTTTCGCTCTATTTTTATGAAAGAATAATCTTGCCCAAAATTTTTAATAATTTGTAATCATAGTATAGTTTTTTTCGTTTTACGAGATATAACGACAATCGAAAATTTAGAAATTATATAGAATTCTATTCTGCAACAGTAACACACAGATCTACAGATCAATAAATATCCAAGAAAACTAAAGAATTCAGAGAAATTTAGGAATTCATGATAATTCAATTAATGCAATAGAATTCTAGTGCTTAACAATATCGATAGAGCTACAAGATTTTTCTTTTATACTCTTGATTTCTAGAATTCTATAGAATTTCTAATATCTGAATCGTGAGAATTATTGAATAGCTATGAACTCTTTTAACAACTATTTAAATAACTGCTGAAGATTAAATAACTAATAATGAAAATATTTGTTTTCAATTTTAGAATATCCTACTCGAAAACAATCAGTAACAGTAAATAAATAGTTGATAATCTTCCAATATTTATTATTGAATAGGAAGAAAATGATTCTTTTTTGTTTATTATCGACTAGATTTGAACGTTCGGGTTTCAGTCTTGACTATGATCATTTTCAATCAATTAATAAAGGAGAGTAGAAGTAAGTCAAAAGCAAGGATTTGAGGCTTCTCTATGACGGATCTACGCACAATGGAATAAGTGATCCAAAAATTGAAGGTCTGCAAGCATACTAGAAAAAGTTAACAACGTTCAAAAATACTCGAACTTGAATCTCAGAATGCTTCCATGATTATTCATATACTTCACGAAATGCTTGAGCAAATATTTGATACTGTCTGGATAGTTTCTCAACATTGCCAGGGTTCAGGTCCGATGCATGCCTATTACTAAATTTGATTTTCTATGTTTATTTATAAATGAAACACATATCAGTTTTTTTTTGAAAACTACTCATAATGACTAGTCAAGTTCAAAATTTAGTAGATCTTATTTTCAGTTACATTATCCGACTTGAAAATAGTTCTATGTATTTTTTATTGAAAAAAACATTTATTCATAGATTTTTGTTTATTTATATGATAACATTGGAATATGATGTTAATTTACTGAATATAGTTCAAGAGAATTGATGATTAAAAAAATTAATAGTAAATTAAAAATAATAATTGAATTAATTGTGTATTTCTATTTTTATTTCAGTCAAACATTTTTTTTTTTTTGAAATAAATAATAAGATTGCATAAACAATGTACCGTTTATTTGTTTGCTTTTTTTTTTTTGTTTTGTAAACTTCTTATTATTTTTCTATGCATTGATAATGTAAATATTTGTTTAATTTGTTTTACAATATAACTAAATATTGTTTCTAGATAACTACAATAAATCGAGATATATCGTTTGATGAAAGATGTCAGTTATTGAATACTAGAATTGTACCCCTTTTTCTTTTTATTTCAATCATCAAATGCTAAAGTTGAACTATAAATTAATTCATTAAGACGATTTGAAGGAAATTAATCAATTTTTCAAAAAGATTTGTAATAATTTTGTTTGTTAGGTATCTAATTAAGAGTATCATAGGCAAAATAGCTTTTATATTAATTAATGAAGATCGTAGTTGTCTTTTTTTTTTTTTTATTTACAAATAGTTTTGATATTTTTTTTTTACTACTCATGAAGTTCTCACAATGACAATCATATAACTATATATATATGTAGTTAAGACATATAACAAAAAAAAAAAATGATATATCTTACTTTAAAAGATAACAAAACGAAACAACAAAACTTTCTGATATATATAGAATTGCATATCTTTACTACGGGCAAAAAAAGGAGATATGGCACGTATGGTAGGAATATTTATAAAAAATTTATTCTATTCAAAATTCAATGAAATTTTTATTAGAAAAAACGAGGTAATTCACCGCCAATTCAAACAATTACTAAATATAATCGTCATGCAGAAGAATCAGACGATGAAGAAGAAGAAGAAGAAGAATATACTTATGACGATCCAACAAAAGAAATACTTAATAAAAGTTCATCAGATAAACTTTCATGGCGAACCAAAATAGCCTATGGTGCTGTTGGTTTACCTTATTCAATGCAATTATCAATTATTGCTTTTTATATAAATGAATTTCTTTTGGATATTGCTAAAGTTCGATTAATTTAATTGTTATTTGAACATCTATAGAATGAATATTTTTTAGGTATCACCAATATATAATGCAATTATTTTATTTACTAGTCGTCCTATTGATGGTTTAACTGATCCTATTGGTGGTTATCTTTTTAGTCGATGTTCATTTAGATGGGGAAAAATGAGACCTTGGTAAGTGTATATATACACACTGATGAACAGTTGAAAACTTCATTGAGATTAAAAAGAAAATATTTCACTGACAGTGTGGAGCTACCTGAACTGATGCTCACCATTTGAGCTCATAAGGATGTCTTGATCGGATTAGAAAAAATCCTTAGAAGATTCGTTCTTTCTGTGCATCTATAGGGCAGAGTTATGACTGTTTTAGTGAATTTTCAATTCAGCTTTCGATATTTACTGAAAAACCAAATAACGAAACTTCGACCTGAAATTTTGCCCATAGATAGATCTGGTGACTCGGGGAATATTCACAGAGTTTCAGTCGAAAAGAATCTTCCATTGTCGAGATATTCAATATTCAAGTGAACTCGATTTTTTGTGGCACACGACCGTTTATTGGAAATTCGATATCTCGGCAAGGAAGCATTATTTTTGGCTGAAACTTTCAAGGTATTCCATATTCATCAGGCATAACTATCGGCGAAATTTCAGTTCGAAATTCCGTTATTTGATTTTTCGATGAATACGTAAAGCTGGACGAAAACTCAGTGAAACAGTCATAACTAGGATTCAGAGGTCTATGGATACGAATGCTTTAGAATTTTTCTAGTTCTACCGAGACCCTCTTGCGAACTCAATATGAAGTTCAGGTATTTCTCTCGTTAGTGAAATCATTGCATTGAAAGATATTCTCCAAACACGTAAAAGTTCTTATAGAATTTTTAAGTGAAACTGATTTTCATCATGCAAAGCATAATAGGAAACAGAAACTTCGCTCTACTGACGTTCGTCATTTGTCGAAATTTGTTTTTTTCTAATGAACATTAGCTTTTTAGGAGGCATTACACGTCAGCGATGACCATCGTTGCTCAACCAATCTCACGGATTTGGCTGATATTTTTACAGTGGATATATACATCTGAGTTAGGAGTAACCTAAAAGTTTCAGCTCAAACAGATAAGCCATTCTGGAAATATCGATACTGCAAGCGTAGCTACTACGCTAAATTTGGAGTGTCTTATAGGACAATACTTTTCAGCAAATTTTCATTTTTTAAAAGAACAATAAGATTTTTTTTACCATAGATACAATTGATTATATGCTATCTTTTCATATTAATGAAAGTGCCTTATCGTCTGATATTTTTGGATTAATGTTATATATCATTTCGAGAAAGTATGATCCCAAGAATAAGTTAAGTTGATCGGATCAGCACAATAGAAAAGTTTGAAAGTAGTCTCATTTGAAAGAGCACATCAAAGTGCATGAAATAACGTTTTCAAAAATTTGTAGAATTGAACTTTGGTAGCAAAAAAGTTTTTTGAACAAGATCAAACACACTGAAAATTCCATACCATTCTAACTACAACAATATGAAATTTCTTCTCGAATGTTGAATTGTTGTATTTCAAATGAAAGCCCATGGCAAGAAATCTCTAAAATTAAAAATTTCAACTCATTTGTATCTACCTGTAAAAAATGGCAGAAGATTCATTTATTCATATCTTACTGAAGGGAGAAGTCATACGAAGATTTCATTGTTAAAAGGTAGAGACATATGAAACGATCTAGACAAAATCCTATAGGTAAAAAAAGTGTTTGAAATTCTAGTTTTTATTTTCATAATAAATATTATTTAAAAAACAAACTAATCATTAAAAATTTATTTGAGTTGGATAATAAAATAGCAATAATGATTTAAACAATTTTGACATGAATCTATGCTATTAACTTCGGTTTTCTTTTCTAATGATAAAGAAATTAAATTATTAACTATTTTCGTATATTTATCATCAATATAAATCAAACATGAACCAATCCATTCTTATTTATTTTATAATCTTTATTTATCCCTACCATTTATTTGCTTTTTTTTTTTGAAATGTAAATCTTGTAAACTGTTTCACAAAAAGAAAAAAATTTGTATGTATTCACCGCTTTCCATAGAGCATAGTAAAAGTAATCAAATTTTTATTATATGAAAGTATACTTCACAGAGAATTACTGTTCATACATACTTGTAGCACTTATTGTGACTCTATCAATGGTGGATCTAGAATTTTGATTAATGTGTGCGCTTCAGTGAAAAGAGTGGGACGCGATCTTGACTAAAAAAGTATATTTTGCGGTTCATTAGAAGCATTATCAGCTCATTATTGAGTCTTCCTTGTTGAGAAAAATAATCACCATCAAGGCCCTTCTCTAAATCTACTACTGGACTCTATATTTATGCATTACATGATCATTATTGGATTGATAGTATCATAGAAAAATTTTGAGTGGAAGCTCAACACCCCTATTTTTGAATGAGTAAAGCTAATTTTCATTTACACATCCATGTTCATAGTGTGGTTAAATATAAAAAAGAAAATTAGCTTATGATGAAAGATATTCTATTTACGATGACTAAATTCTATCTTATAAATAATTTGTAAAATAGTCATATATGTCATCTGAAAACATCGAAGAAATTCGTTGTCTTATTAATGATGATTCTTATCTTCAAGGTTGACAAAATGGAAATAAAATCTAGTATATAATTAAGAATACTCTCGAATAAATCACTTTCGAGTATGTAAAACAAGAGAAAAAAATAATAACCACACATTGGGTAGTTCACTCGCTCACGAATGCTCCAGTGTGCTGAGATATGTCAGAATAGATAAAGAAAATATAGCAATATTTCAGAAAGTAATATGATGATTATGTGATGTAATAATGTCGAAACAATGAGCTTCATGTTCAATTATCATATGAAATGAGAATAAACTATTGATTATTATTTTGATATCTACAATCGTTTACAATTCTGTATGAAAAAAAAACTAAAGAATGAAGATTAGCATCTAGTAAAAATGTTTATAACCATCTTAAATCAAAACGTAATACAATAAATAAATTGTATTCCATTACGCGTGGTAATCGTATCAGATAGAATAATCGAAAATTAAGCATTGATGTATTTCTATTTCAGCAGTGTGAGATATGAAAATTAAATTGAATGATGGAAAACTTTCAAATATTTCGATAATTACTCCGTGTATATTTTTGTGGCATTATTAATCAGAGAGATATTATGTTTTGTATGTGTATTTTCGTGGGTATCTGAAAATGAGAATTCACTTTCAGATTTGACATAGATATTTTCTTTAATTGAATATCATTTTTTAGGATACTTTTTTCAGCACCTTGTGTTGCACTCTGCTATTTCGGTATATGGTGTCTTCCAAATATTTCTAGCGGTGGTAAATTAGCCTATTATCTCATACTTCATTCTTTACTATGGACATTTATGACTGTAAGTTATATAGAAATTATTTTTTTATTGTAATAAAAAAAAAAGAAAAGAATCTAGGCATCACGCATTCCACATACGGCTCTTACTATTTATTTAACATTAGATCAAAATGAACGAGATCAATTAACAAAATTTCGTATGAATAAATAATTTTATTTGTATTATTTTAATTTTGTTCTTTTTTTTTTTTTTTGTACATAAAATAGGTACTTTATTTGAAGCTGCTGGTCTATTACTTTCGATTGCTCTTCAGTCAGGTGTTACAGCTATGTTTAAAGCATCAAAAATTAGACCAAACTGTGACAATTCAACGTTTGTTAATGGATCAAATAATAATGTAATAGAATATTCCACGACTACAACGATGGAACCGGATTTAACGGTACCAAGTAATGTGGTAATTATAAAATAAATTTCATTATTATTTCATATTTATAAAAATAAACCTAGGCAGGTGCTTATATGACTTCAGCTGGTATTGTAGCATTAGTTCATATTTTAACAGCATTATTTTTATTTATTTCTGTTCGTGAAGTTGTTGGTAAGTTTGAAAAAAATAAAATAAAAGATTAGATTAGATTAACGTTTTTTTTTTTTGTTATTAGATGTTATTCAAACAAGTGAAACAAGTTATTTGAAAGGTTTTAAAATGATAATACGTTTTAAACCATTTATGATCTTAACAGTAGCAACAGTTGCATCTATTCTTGCAACTCAGGTATTTATTAAAACTTTCATTTTTTTTTTGTTCTTTTCATTGATAAAGACATTCGATAGTTTTCTTTTTTCGATAGTCAATTCAAAGTGTTCTTGAACTTTATTTAACTCATGTAAAAAAATCACATGGAATGTTTCCATTTCTGGCTGGAACATTAATTGTTTGTATTATTTTCAAACAACAAAAAAAAAAAAAAGAAAAACTTAGTCTTTATTTAATTTTCCCTTTTTTTTTTTTTTTTTTTACTTTTACAGATATCAACAATGATTCTTTTATTTGTATGGTCAATAATAATGCGTCGAATTGGAAAGAAAAAAAGTTTTTTTATTGGAAATTTAGTATGCAATAATTCTTCTTCTTTTTTTTGTTTTGTATCTATTGAAAGAAAGTTTTTCTTTTAAATTAGTGTTTAATACCAACTGTAATCATTATATTAATTACTAAATCTCCTATAGCTCTTTTATTTGTTGCAGCAATTGTGGGTGCCAATACAGTTGCTTGTGGTTATATCATGCCATGGTTTGAATTATTTTATATTTATTAAATTTAAAGAAACAAAAAAAAAAAAAAAATTTTTTTTCAATTTAGGGGCATGTTACCAGATTGTATTGATGCATTTACGCTAGAAACAGGTCGAAGACCTGTAGAAATTTTTTATACATTCTTTTTTCTTGGTGCTAAACTTGTACAAGCATTATATGCGGGTATTGTTCAATTATCATTAGGGTAAAAATGTTTTATTTTAATTAATAGATTGTATATAGTAATTTTTAGTGCAAGTGGTTATGATGCTAAACAATGTCAACAACCATCATCAGTCGCATTAACATTAAGTATATTGATGGGTGCTGTTCCAGGTTGTGTACTGATTGTATCAACAGTATGTTTATATTTTTATTCAATTGATGATAAACGAGCTAAAGAAATTCAATACGAATTGAAAAACATGAGGTACTAAAAAAAAAACCTATATATATATAGATAATTTTTCTTTCGTCTTACTATTTTTTTCTCTTTAGAAACACATCATCACCTGAGAAAAATTTGGCCAATAAGTCAAAAGAAAAAAATAAAAGAATCGATACAGAAGTAGATGACAGTTATTTATAAGAATGTGTATTTTTTTTTTGACTTATGTCTGGATTAAATTTTCTTTATTGTATAACAATTTTTTTTTTCTATCTGACTACAATTTTCAATGTCATGTTTGTTTTTAATGATGAAAAAAAACTATTTGAATTATTAGTTTTTAAGTGATCATATAATTAATTATATCTATGAAAGTACAGAAAAACGATTATAGTTTTAATGATTATTCAAAACAAAAAACAACATCCAGATAAAGGATGAAAAGAGAAGGTAGTGTAGGGAACTGCAGTTCCTTCGAAACCTGAATTCGGATCTAAAGCAGACCTCACTGATTTTGGTAGCCTATCCTAAACCATGATACAATAGATGTGATTTTGACCCATTGAATGGTGTATAAGAAGTCAAGTTTTATGAAGATTTTGACGTGATAAAGGCCGGTACACTATTTATAATACTTCAGGATTATTATAGAATACTCATAGGTATTGTAATCCATAGGATATCCTAAAAAACAAACTTATGCAATTTTTTTTGTCTAAACTCAATTGGATACAGTTATAGATGTTCTTCAATTTTCTATAATTAATAGTTTTCATCATTGCTTTCTTCATACTTAAAAGTGGTTCATTTTCTTATTTCTAGGTTATTTCTTGACTATATAATATTACAGTCTGCTCAACTTTGTACCACAGAACAAGTGAATACACACTCACACCCACACCCTCTTTATAAATGTAAAAGAATTTAGTTGGCCTTCAGGTTCTTGAAGAGGTTACGAGGATGTGAGAAAACTATTTTGGAAATGAACATGAGATATTTATAGATTCTTGTGAAGTTTCATGCAAAAACCAAACCTGAATATCTGGAATAAAAAATTGAAAAAGAAATAATAAAAATAACAGGCCTTCTTCCTGCAACTCTATACCCATATTTCCCTTCAAGGATCTGGAGGTCAAACTATTTTTTCCAATTATGAAGGAGTTATTTATATCAGTTCATCAGGGATTCTGTGCTGACTATTAATAGATAAAAATTTTTAATAGAACCGCTGAATATTGTTAATATACTGGTCCCTTCATAAACGAAAACAGACTATTCTTAGACACAATCTTGCAAGTTGACATTCAGTCCCTGTTGTTCCAAAAGATGTTATGTGTGAAACATTCTCACAAAACTCAGTTTTTCTAGTTCCTGAGGGGGACCACGGCATTGTGCTTAAAGTGTCCTCTTTCAAATAGTATATGAATCATCCTCCGCTGAAATGAGTGCCGGAGAAATCAGCAATCTACGAAAACCATCTGCATCTGTTGTTATTAGGGACCACATCCCTAATAACAACACTAAGCTATTTTCTGATCCTAATAACAACGCTCAGCTGGGCTTTGACTTCAACAACAATGAATCATTACGACAATAGTACAGGGTGATCCATAAGTAGCTTTACGATAAAAATTTTGAATATTTCTACTGTGTGTCCAGTCTATAGGGCTGATCTTTTTAGGAATGAAATATTCAACATCTTTTATTTACAATAATTATCATCCAATCCAACCAATTACATTATCAATTATTAAAAGATGTCTGTCTCTCTCTCTCTCTCTCTCGTTCGATATTCATCTAAATCTTACGATCATGTTAAATGGAGATTAATTGTCAATAGACTCATTATCTTGAGGGTGAAAAATTGTAGTCGAATATTGACTGTCTACTGATCCTTTTTTTTGTTTTTGTTTTTATTTTGATAACATATTTCTATAATAATGGACTTATAATTAAATTCTTTATGGGACATTCTTTCTTTACCAAAACGTTATGAATGGAAAAACTGAGATTCTGTATAGCAGTGGAACGCTCAAATATGAATAATGTGTAAAAAAATTGTCCAAAACAGTTGACCAGAAGCAAAATTATAGGAAAAAAACGGCTAAAATTTCAATCATATGAGAAAGTTCAATTCACTCATAAATGCGTTATATTGACGATTGAATTTTTGATTTTCATCCAAACAAAGACTAAAAAGAAGATGGCGCAATGTCATAAACAAGCCAAAAACAAGGAGGAAAAAAATAGATGAATATAAGAAAAGAGAATAATCAACTTGTGACTCTGTTCAATCGTTGAATTTGATTGAAGCAAGACATCGGTCAATGTTTTTTGTTGTTTTTTGTCTGTATTCTATCCATTGTTCAATGAGGAGAGAGAAATAAGATAAGGTAATACTAAATATGTGAAATAAACGACGAATGCGTATTTATATGAGACTGTTTGTATAACATAGACAATATCGAATACGATCAAGACAAATTGAATAAGCGACATATTTCTTATTTAAACAGAATTATTTCTTATAATAATCATTTTATTATAATGAGTAGAATGTTATCGACCAATGAAACATTTCTCTTAATACCAAATCAATCATTTGAAATAGAATATCAACATATGTCATGTGTTTCTAATATGAATATTTGGCTTATCATTCATTTCATTATTACATATTTAACTCAACAATTACTTATTTGCTATATTTTTCTTCCGGTATATTTGATAATGATATTATTCTTTTATTCTTATTTGAAACGTATAAGTAATGTTATGAATAGCAACTTGTTAGACATATATGACCTGGATAGATATTCATTAATAATTATTGTATTGAAAAAAGAAATGAAATTGATATTCGTTTATGTATATATCGCTTTTCTCTATACATGGCTGCAATTGATGAATAGCAACTATACAGTAACATATATGAACTTTCTTCGTTGGTTGATCGAAGCTTCATTGCTTCCACAACTCTTAACTATCAATTTTTTTTATTTTCTACATCCAGAGAATTTTTTCATCGACTATCACTTACATTACGTACCCACAATTACGATCAAATTACCTTTGTTCGTGTTGATGCGTTACGCCGAAATTCAATCTGACTTTTTTCTGAATAGGCTTCAAATATTGCTCTTTAATATATTTTGTTATTGGCCTTCGAAATTAAATATCTTTTGGCAATATATTGAATAGAAAAGCATACTCTCTCAATCTTATATTAAATATTTTGTGTTGTTCTTTAAAAGGATGTAAATAAATAAAATTCGATAAATGACATCTAACTTTTTAACAAATATTGCATGATTTAATAATTATCTAAAACGAAAATTTTTCTTTTTGTTATGACTTCTAAGAATATTTATATTCAATCGATGAAAGTTAGAAATCTCTTTTGCATAATATAATGTCGTCTGCACAAAACGAATCAAATAGACTGACATTCAAGTAGAAAAGGCAATGAATTGAAAGAGTTTAGAAAAATGATAGGATATGATCCTTTAGGACATTTTTTGGTTAGAAATTTTAGGTTCGTACAGAGAAAATTGTTATGAAACTCATAGGCGGGCTAGAGTCTTTAACTGAAGTGTGACATATTACCACTAATGGCCAGCTGACGGGTTACCCAGGTCTTTTGGTTGTTCCTATCCTAAGATACAGCTAAAAAGGGTGTTTTTACACTGCTCATATACCCCCGACAGGTTCCGATGTTCTTATTTCAGAATAGGAACATTGATTACAGAAATTTGAAAAACACTTATAACTGTATTCAATTGAGTTTAGTGAAAAAATTGCATAAGTTTGTTTTAGTATATCCTATGGATTAGAATACTTATGAGTATTCGATAATAGTCCTCAAGCATTTTAAACAGTGTATCGGCCTTTATCACGTCAAACTCTTCATATAGCTTGACTTCTTATACACCATTCAATGGGTCGGAATTAGCTCTATAAAATCACATCTATAGTTTCGTAGTTTAGGATAAGCCACCAAATCTGGCGAGATACTTTACTTTTTATTGGATCCCATTCAATAAATACCTAGATCCTTAACTTCCTACAATAAATTCTTCTTTAATATGATTTACATTAATGTAATGAAAATTATTCTATGTGATTGAAGATTTCTGTACTATTGTCGATTTGATAATTTTCAATGATGAGTTTGAATGTAAACAAAATAAACCAATGGAAGGGTGAAAAACAAGAAATAACTTGGCATCGTTTTCTTAGTCACGCAGATAGAAGATGCTAGACATTGACACACAATAATTTGACTGTGAACTTGGACTCGTTCAAATTTGCATCTATCTAGCTATAAAGACGTGTACTTGCAGCTTTCTATAGGTCAGCCAGAACTAGATACGTTTCAACAAGAAGAAGAAGATGAAACTCGAATGAACTTCGAAATATTCATTATGAAAATGCTTGCTTTAAAGAACATAAGCATATTTTTCAATACTTTATACTGTATTACTTAAGATAGAATAAAATATATAAATGATTTATTGAGTGCTTACATATTAGCAAAATGTAGAATAGTGTGCAAAATCATATTAATCGTAAGATTTCTCGCAGAGGAAACAATTATTTAGCGTTACAAAAATTTTTGAAAACCATATAACAGTTTCTATTGCTGTTTGTTGTTCATCAAACGTAAGTTTTGGCTTGTTTTCTTTTTGTTAAATGCTTAATTAATGAAAGATTGGTTAATAGTAAAAAAATGTCTATACATAAGTTTTTCAAAAAAAAATTCTATACGATTTTCATTTGATGTTCTTTGAGAATCTCATCTTAATTAGGACAATAAACGGGTCTCAAAACCTATTCTAAAATATTTTTTTAAGTCTAGCTGAAATTCGAATGATGTTCCTTCTCTTTAAAAACAGAACAAGAATTATAGTTAGAATAGATGCATAGTATAAAACTAAGTATTGTATAATTCAATATTGAAAATAATTGAGAAAATGTTAATGTTTTTTTTTTTTCAAGGCACATTTAAGAAAAAAAAACACGTAATAATAGTTACATAGTAATGAATTTGTTCTCTTTTCAGTTGCCAACGTCTGTTATTTAAAATGTTTCTTTTTTACTAAGTAAATTTTTCATTTTAACATGTTTGTAAAAAAAATAAACCACACCCTCGTGATGTTAATTAAATAGGAATAAAAATGTTGCAATATACGTGTTATTATAAATTAAAAATTTGAACTATTTAATAAAAAATTAACTGACAATAAATAAATTTCTTGGTTTTTTTTTTTTTTGCTAAACAATTATTTTATCACATTAATGTTTATCGTCAAAAGATTTTTCAGCATTTTCATTCACATTAATAGATAAATTTTCTGTATGATTAGTTGAATCTATTTGTTTTAGTTGATCAAATTGAATACTTTTTTGTAATCGACGTTTTCTTTGATCTAATTCATAATCTAAAGCACGTCTATTTATTTGATAAATTCGTTTACGTGTTTCAAATAACAAATTTAAATCCGAAGGATTCTTTCTTGGTCGACGTACACTACGCATTGAAACAAGATCATCATGAACATATTTGTCTAATGTTTCAGTTGTAATAAATAGAGGTTCAATACCATCAGATAATCCCGAATGATTTGGTGCAAATTTAGCAGGTGATCGTGGTGATCGTTGAATTTTCTCATTGGACGGTGTATTAATTAATTCAGAAATTTGTGTACCATGTACATTTGATACATTATCTATTGTTGATGGAATATGACTTTTTGCTGAAGTTCTATTTTTTCGAATTTCATTCGTTGTTAATGAACGATAAATTGTAGGTAAAGTAGTATTATGTTTTCGACCTGAAATTCTAGCAGATTGTGCATGAATATGATGCCAAGTTTTTTCTAAATCATGAACATTGTCTTCTTCTTCTTCTTCTTCTTCTTGTTCGTCATCATCGTCATTGTTTTTTTTATTTTGTTGAAAAAAAACATTTACTGATTTAGTATTACGCATAGCTGATGATGTTTGAAGAGGATTTTTTTGAAGAAATCGATGATATTTTATATTTATATCTAAACGACGTTTTTCTTCACTTGGTGGTATAACAAGAGTTTGTTCACCAGCAATAACATTATCTAATGTTTTAAGTTGATTTTCATAATAATCATCTTTCATTCCAAAACGTTGATGTTCATATTCTTGTAAATCTTTTTTTAATTGTCGTATATAAGATTCTTTTTTCCATGTATATAATAATTCTCGATTATATTTTTCTTTTAAATTATAAATTTGTAAATCTTTTACTAGTTGAATATAATGTAAATGTTGACATTTAGTTAATTTATTTTGAATAATTTTATTTTTTTGTAATGCTTGTAAAAGACTTGTTTGAAAAACACCTTCATCTGTTGAATGTTTCATAGAATTGATTAATTTGTATATATTATTGTTAGTGAGAGTATGTTTGTCAATGTCGTTTCTGTTTTGTTAATATTTGTAAATGTTTGACATTGATTTCAAATGACATTAATATATAAAAGAAAGAAAATTTCTTTCAATTTTTTTGCTTTTTTGTCTTTTAATTTTAAGATAATGATAAAAATGTCTTTTATCTTTAAAATATTTTAAGTTAAATTTTTTGAGAAAATTTGTTTATGATTTTGAATGGAAAATAATTCAATAGACTTCTGTTTTGTTAAATTGAAATTTTTGAAAATGTAATGTTTGATTTTATTTTATTTTTTTTTGTTGTTGTTTGCTTATGCCTAAAGGAAAAAACAATTGTATATGATTGCTGTCAGTTTAATAGAGAAGAAAAAACCTAGTAAATTATTTTCATTCATTTATATTTTATAGAACAAAATTTCTATTTGTTTTCATTATTAGACTTGAACTTTTTGAAAGAGATTCTTTCAACATTAAATTTCTATTTTGATATGTATGACTAAACAATAAGAGTGTACATTAACAAAAAAAAAATGGTGAAATTATGAAAGAAAAAGTCAACGGAATTGACTCAAAAGAAAAACTTAGTCACGTAATAATATCTCTTTTTTTTTTTTCTATTATTTTATCTGGAAAAAATAACCTAGTTAAAGAGTATACGCAAAGATTAAGTTTACTATCTCTAAGAGATGTATTCTACAATCAAGTTAGTAAATATGAACAAGAATAAATTCGTTGTGTGTGTGTTTTTTTTTTCTTTACTAGTGAAAATATTCTATTACGATATTGTCTTTTCGATTACTATAGGCTTTTAATTAAAAAATATTAATTTATTCATTTCTTTCAAATAAATCTGATTTAAGCTTATCTTGGTTTCAAAAAAACATAGCCTTAAGCCAACTTATCTAATTTAGTGTCACGCTAACTTCTAATAAAAACAAGAGGTTCATATGAGCATTCTCGATTATCTATTTTTCATGTACCAATTTTATCAGTAAACATTTTAAAATGAATTTAGTCATATATGAAACAACAAATATATCAAGTTATATATATATGATTTTCAATACAATCGATATATACATATATAATATTACTTTTATTTTTTGCTTTAAATAGATGATTATTAACATTGAATAAATCTGTAAATTCAATCATACATACACACATACACATAGATGCAATTGATTATGTCTCTCGTGTATTGTAGACATAAAATCAAGACGATTAATATGTTTAAGCTTGCTAAGAAGAAAAAAAAAAAAAAAAGTCATCTATTGATAAGACACAACATCACATGTAGCAAAACAAAATGTAAATATGTAGAAACGATTCTAATAATAACAACCCATACTGTTTTCTTCTTTTTTTTTTTTTTTAATCTTGTTCAATTGTTTTTTGAAAAAAATTGTCCTTGAACCAAATTAGTTTGATCTTGAGCCTTCGAAAAATCGTTATGTTTCTTTCGGGCCATCATTGTCACTCTGTTAACATACATATAGATTAAATAGTTTTCTTGCCGTATTAATATTTGTCAATGTCGTTCATTCGAGGACTTGCGGCAATGATGAGAATCATCACTAATATTTTTTTTTCTGATTATTTTTTCTTTATTTGTATGAAGAAATCTTTTTACGGATCAGTTTTGTACACTTCAATGATGTCAAGATGTCAGTTGAGAGGAAAACTCTTTGATATGGTCAACATTTTTCTGATTACTACTGTATACGAGAATAACTATATAATTGTGCTTATTTCGTTTGGCAGATTCATTCGATCGTATTCGATTTTCTTGTTTTTTTTGAGGATGTGACGATCACAGTAATAAGTATAGAGAGACAAATTGAAGACTCGATTTTTTCTTTCAATACTAGAGTATGGTAAAACGAGTTGACTAGAGAAAGAATGCGAGTATAAGAAAAAAAATCATATGAGAAACGAAGAGAAAGGCAATCAACTAGAAAGAAAGAAACGACAACGACGACGATAGAGCGAGTAGAAGAAAGGAAAAGTTCTGCTTCGCAAAAGGAAATATCATCATCCGATTGTCAGCAATAAGAAGATGATCTACATGACTGTTAGTCAGGACAAAACAAAATCTGTAGTATCAGCAATCAGAAAAAAAAACTGGAACTGATGATGATGATGATGATGATGACAGAGTGATTATAGTCTTTTTTGACTGATTTTTTTATTTGACGGTTTAGCAGGAAATACAGAAAAACAAACAGCAATCACCTAGTCGTGATTTCTCTCTCTTATTCTATTTCTTCATATTGAAAAATGTTTGCTTTAACTCTTTATATATCATATATCCCACATTTGTAAATGTAGATGTCGAGGTGCATAATTGAACATAAGTAGAAGCGTATATAGAAAAAAGATAAAGGGTAAGAAACGAAGTCTCTTGTTATTTGCTCTTACCAACAGCGGAAAGAGCCACTCTCATTCAATTCCGTTCTCTCGTCCGTTTTTTTTTTTGCTACTATTGTTGCCGCTACCGTTGTAACATTGACTTTCTCTCTCTCTCTCTTTCCGACTGCTTTCTATCATTAGATTGAACACACATATTCGAATATTTTCCAGTAGAATAATCTTTTCCGCGTTAGTGGGATATCTGTTTTTTTTCTCATTTTTTTTTGACTCGAGAATTCAGATGTATAGTATATAATTGAAGAAAATAAATTAGCTGATTTCACGTTTATTTAGTTACATTATAAAGGGAAGAGCTTTTTATTTTCTCTTTAGGGTAAAGTGCCAATATTGATTAAGGTCATCAAAATTTCTGACGCGCACGTCAAGACAAAAACATCGATTACAATTTCTCTTTCTTTATTATATTTTATGTTCATCACTCATATATCTTTGAGATTGTAATACATCTATTAATGTGCGTCTATCACTCTCAATATCCATGTATAATAAGTATTGTTATACTTGTTTATTAGAAAAAAAAATCACGACACCTTCCATAAACAATATTATTGTTTGATTATATTAATTCATTAGAATTAATTTTACTATTATATTCCATTATTCTTTATTATTAACAATTACTATCAATATAAATATGAATTAAAGCGTCGATGCAATTGTCTTTCAATGATTCGTTTTCAAATAGAACAACGACAAATATTAACTAACGATATGTTTAGAAATATCAATAATGATGTTTCTTCAAATTATATTCATAATAATAATGTACATTTTTAATTCATCCTTATCCTATTCAACATCTAACGATCCACTTATTCGTTCAACAAATTCAGGTCGTATACGTGGTTTTGATACATATTTTCGTACATCAGATTCATCACATCTTTATCATGTTCGTAGTTGGCTTGGTATTCCATTTGCTAAACCACCAATAGGTATACGTCGTTTTAAAATAGCCGAACGTATTTCACCATGGTCTGGTATACTTAATGCAACACAATTACCAACAACATGTTGGCAAACTGAACAAATTGTTTACAATCTTGAAGCTGAAAAAATTTGGTCACCAAATACAAATTATAGTGAAGATTGTTTATATTTAAATATTTGGGTACCAGTTAATGATAATCATCCAACATCAATGGCTGTACTTGTATGGATTTATGGTGGTGCATTTGTAACTGGTTCAAGTACATTAGATATATATGATGGAAGAATATTAGCAGCAACAAATGATGTTATTGTGGTTTCTATGCAATATCGTTTACAAAGTTTTGGATTTTTATTTCTTGATAGACCTGATGCACCTGGTTAGAAATATTTAAATATAAACATTTTTTTTTTTATCATGAAGAATTTCTTTTTTTTTTTTTTCTTCATTTTTAAGGTAATCAAGGTTTATATGATCAAGTTCTTGCTTTAGAATGGATTCATCATAATATTGGTTATTTTGGTGGTGATACTCAACGAATAACATTATTTGGTGAATCAGCTGGTGCTGTATCTGTTGGTTTTCATTTATTATCACCACGTAGTCGATCATTATTTTCAAATGCGATTTTACAAAGTGGTGGACCAACATGTAATTGGGCATTTATAACAGCACAAGAAGCACGTCGACGTTCACATAAATATTTATTTGAATTTTATTCACTTGTTACAAAACGTTTATCTGATGAACAACATCGTAATGAACGTGAAAAAATACCTGAAATATGTCAACGAGGTGGAAATGTTGATGATATTGAAATTATGTTTGAATGTGCATTAAATTATCCAATTATAGATGAAGATCATTATGCTTTTATAACAAATGCTGAATATACAATTCAAGATGGTGGTCCTATGTTTTTTCTTCTTATGCCTGTTGTTGATGGAACATTTTTACCTGATAATCCAATAACAATGCTTAAAACAGGAAATTTTAAGGTTTTATATTTTAATTTTATTATATATATATATGTATTTTAATTTAATTAAAATTTTTTTAGAAATGTCCTCTTCTATTAGGTGCCAATCGTGATGAAGGTTCTTATTTTATGGTTTATGCTCAAGGTAATGAAAAAACGCCCGGTAATGCTATGCCAAATGTTAATTATGCAACATTTTTAAAACATCTTGAACTTTATTATACATATATTCCAGCATATCCATTTAAAACTCCTCGTACTATTTTTCAATCATTAATACATAAATATACAGATTGGTCAGATTGGTCAAATAATATTCAAAATGCTGTTATATTAAGTCATGCTGTTGGTGATGCTCATTTTACATGTCCAACAGTTGCTGTTGCTAATGCATATGCAAGTTATAATATGTCAGTTTATTTTTATCATTTTGTTGCAAGACCATCAATAAGTGATTGGCATATATGGACAGGTGTTATGCATGCGTAAGATATTCAATATTTTTGAAATTATTTTTTTTTTGTTTTTTTGTTTTTTTTAGTGATGAAATAATGTTTGTATTCGGTGAACCTTTGAATGCAACTGATAGTAAAGCATATAAATATGAAGAAATGCAATTAGCAAGAAGAATTATGAGATATTGGACAAATTTTGCAAAATATGAGTAAGAAAAAAAAAAAAACAATCAATAAAAATTTGAAGAATTTAATTAATTAATTTTATTTAATAGAAATCCAAATGGTTTATCAATTACAACTACTGGTGATTGGCCACGTTATATTTATCCTGAACGTAAACATATTATACTTGATGTATTTAATAAATCAACTGGTATTGCACATCGTGCAGAATATTGTGCATTTTGGGAACATTATATACCAATTTTATTAGAAGAATTTGGTAAAAAAAATATTTTTATTTTTGGCAAAAAAATTAAAATTATTTATTTAATTTTTTTTTTGTTTAGAACGATGTGTTCTTCATGGTCGTTCATCATCAGTTACACTTTTAAATGAAAAATCCTCATGTTCATTTATGTCAAATTCCTTATTTAACATTTTAATTTTTTTCTTAATTATCATAGAAATGAAATATTTAATTTAATAATAATAATACAACAACAAGAAAAAGAAAGAAATCAACAGATTAAAAGAACAGCAACAACAAGAAAAACAAAAAAAAAAAAACAAACCATATTCACATATCATTTCTGTCTGTGTTGCTTTCCCTTATATCGATTTTTTTGTCTCTCTCTCTCTTAATTTCTTTAATAAATCGAAATATGTTATGAAAAGCAAATATTGAAAAATGAAATATAGACACACAGAATAATTAAATTAACAAGTTGGTGAAGATGTTTGTGCAATTTCATCATCATCACTTGATATAGAAAGAACATCATCATCTTCTTCGAATGCTTCTTCTTCTTCATATTCGACTTCTTGTGGTTCATCTAAATATGATAATATAAATATTCAAATTTAATTATATATATTAAGGTGTATAGTTGAAATTCATCATTTGTATATGTAGTTTAATTTTCTTAATATTTGAAAGATTTTAAAGATAAAAAAAAGTAAAACTTACCATCGACTTTAAAATAAGATGGTGGAACAAAGACAACAGGTGTTGTTGATGTTCGACTTTTTATACTTGATGATGTTCGAGTTTCAAATAATGTTTTTAATGAACCAGTCATAGCCATTTCTATGAGGAAAAACAAAACAAAATTTTATTATCAATTTAATCATAATCAAATTTGCTAATATGATTTCAATATAAAAGTTTTTTTTTTTCTGTCATAATAATAATAATAATAAGAAATCTTACCAGTAGCAAAGTCCCAAAATGCTTCTGGTAAAAGTGCTCGTGCTTGTTCAATATTAAATTGAGATTTTACATTACCACGAAGTTCTTTTGATAAACCAAGTTTATGTAAACATTCAGTTTCATTAACAATTTTTACTTGACGATCAAATGTTAGAATTGTATCTCGACTAAAATAAAATTTTATTTGATTTATATGTAAATCATTTTTCTTTTTTTTTGTTTTTTATACCCATCTCTTGAAAATGAACTATCAATTGAAGCACCATTTGTTGTACCAAATGCATAAAAAGGTAATGAACACATATTATTGAAACGCATCATTTCTCGACGTTGTTCATTACGACGAATTAAATTACGTAAAGCAACCAACTATAAAAATGTAATAAAATATAATAAAATCTAATTCAATTTCTTCAAGTTTAATCGATTGAGTACTATTATTCGATCATGATGAGCTAAGAGCTTTTAAATTTGTCTAATCAATTTTATCAACGAATACTAATGACCGACAACAAGGTTAGATATCTTTTCTTGTATAATTCGTGAGATATAAACGATTAATTTCTTTAACTATAAAATGCTCATCATTTCTGATTCTTTTCTATCTACAAAATGAATCGAAATATTAGCTTCTAATAGTGTTTTGTTGCAATGGAACATTAGTTTCAAAATTTTGAGGGTTTCTTCCAAAAAGTCAACAGAGAAATATTATTTTCACTCGAAAAATGATTACCATGTCAATTGACATGTCTATCTGTATTTTCATCGTAACTTTGTTGTTTTACAGTCTAGCACGATATGTATACGGATCGTATCGTACAACCTGGAGAATATTAAATATTATGTAGTACAAATTCATTGAAAATGAACACACACACACACACACTATTGAAACATATATCGAGAGACAAGAGTGAAGAAATAAGAGAGTTGCTCATTTTACTAATCATATAAAAATATAATTATTAAAATGTTCATTTATTTTGTATCGTTTTTGTTTCGTTTCTCATATACACACAAGCAAAATTAATGAGTAATCGGAAAGTTTTTAGATAAGATGTTTGTTTATTTTTTGATGCGATAGAAAATATTTCCTACGAATTAAAAACTACAATTTCTTTTGCTCTTTTCGAATATAGGCTTAGAAATTTTGTTCGATATTTTTGAATTTATACATCAGCTTGTTGAGGATAAGGCGTCTCAAATTTTCATTCTTTACTAAATACTCATCTATGAAAAATCAACAACTATTTCATGTTGAAAGGAAAACTGCTTGAGTAAAAGCTAGAGCTTATTTCAATATCACATTTTGTAGAGAAATGTTCGTTTCCTAAAACAATCGACTCTGACAATTTTTAGTATGTTCGAAAAAGGACTTGGAAAGAAAACAAAAAATCTATTGGCTCACCATTAAAAATAATTTTTTCAGGTCTTTCATTACTCTTGAACGAAAGCTGAAACAAAATCATAACTTTTAACTCGTTGAAAATACTTTCTAATGCGTCAATAAATATCTTGTCTAAAACTTTTTCGATCATCCATTTAATAGCATATTTAAAATTAGCTAATGAAAAGACATCATTACATCTCAAAATACTTGTCGTATTTGTAAAAATTAAGAAACTCTTTTAAAAACAAAAAAAGCATATGAATTTCCGTAAGTTGGTACTCAAAGAATTCATATGATTTTGTTTATTTACTTTTAATAAAGCATCTTCGACGAATCGAACTTTTTCTTGAATTGTTTCTTTAATTTCAATTGTTTTTTTCTACAATAAAAGCATATTTAATAATGAGAAAATTTGTTTTGTTTTTTTTGCAAAATAGAAAATTTACATCAATAAGTTCACATTCAAAAAGTGCATTAACTGGAAAACCAACCCAACGTATATCTTTTTTATCTTTTGTAATAATATTCATTGCTAGAAGAACATTAATTGCATCATAAACTCGTCGTCGAATATTTTTTTGTTCATAAGCCTTTTTTTTTTTAGAAGAATAAAATAAAAAAAAAAATTTTTTCTGTTTTTCTATAAACTTACTAATTCATTTTCTGGTAATTGTAAATTACGTTTTTCTTCAATTGTATATTCACCAACAAGTTCTGTAGCAACTTCATTATAGGATGTAATTTTTTTTGCTTGAACTTTATTACAAACTTTTTTTGAAAAATATCTTAAACCTTTCGATAAACGTTCACGATGACGATGAGCAGCTAATGTTGATAAACTAGAAAAAAATAAATAAATACATGAACAAAAAAGTAAGACAAAAAAAAAAGCTTTTTTTTTTCTTACTAAGCATTTGTATCACATTCTTGCGTAAATGGATAAACACGTTTACGTGAATTTGAATTTTGACCGAGTGAAGAACGATTCTATATAACAAATAAAAAAAAAACAAAGATATACACACAAAAACAAAACAAAATAATTTTTATATCTACTATTCGTTGAGCTGCTTGAATGAGTACTGGTGCATGATTAGGTGAAGAAGTTGTATCAGTAGTAATAATTGTCGCTTTCGAACCCGTTAAAGGTGAAACAATATGAAAAACTAAATATACAAATATCTTTATAGAAAACTCGATAAGATGCATTTTTCTTTATACCTCTAGGTCGAATAGGAATAGCAGGTAATCGTTCCTAAAAATAAATTATATACAATCTATCTATTTTCTATGTCAAGTATAAAAGTACAAATAACAAACTGTAATAGAAGTAGAAGGTAAAGTAGGAACTTCGGTAGATGACATTTGTATTTGTAAAGGTGAAAAAAAAAAAGGTAAATTGTGAATGGGTATCCTTAAGATGCCCGTTTAAAACGTCATAAATTGATCTAGCCATCTTTTCTTTGGAGCCAAAACAACCTCTTTGATCGTTCAAGGGTGTCACCATTTTTAATTGATTTTATTTTAATTATTACATATAAATTTCAAAATTATAAAATATATTTAATTACTTTTAATTTATATTTTACATAATAGTTTGAGAAAAGATGTCGCTAATTAACGGATTTTTGTTGGTGTTATGTACAATACTGAAAACACATGAATTAAAATGAAATGATTACTATTATAATAATTTACTCTATACAAATACAGAAATAGTCATGATGAAAAAAGAGAGTTGAAGAATATAAAAACAGAAGTAAACTTTGGTACGTCAAAGGTTTGTTTTTTGTTTCTTGAAATTGATTAATGATTATAGCTACTGAAAATATTAATTAGCAATTATTGAAGTAGTGACGTTGACACATTAATTATTCCTTGTCAAATGAATGAATTATTGACAAGTTAGAGCGAAAGAGTAATATTTTACAATATGAATCAGTTTCGTGTCAAAAAAATATTGACTGCTCATTAAATTTATTTAGAACATTAGATTTTAATCAATAAAATCGAATATATGAAAATTTTCTTTATATAACTATTCTTTTTCTTTTCATTTATTTATTACGAATACTAATGTTAGAAGTATCCAAAGAAATCTTAAACATTAGTAAGCTTCTCATGATTTGTTCAATCCATTATTGCATCATTAAACAACGATAAATGAAGAAGCTTTTATGGATGAAATCATGAGTTTCAAATAAATATATTTCATTTCAACTTGGAACAAGAATGAATTAAGGAAATTTATCTTTAATCCTCTTGTATTCAAAGATTTAGGAGTCAGATTATTACTGACATATACGATACTAGTTAGTTGAATTTTGCTTACTGCGAAAAGACTATATTCAAATATTTACAAATAATATTCTTGCATCTTTAAATTAATCTAATGTAGTTCATTGCGATTGATGTCCATCATGAGACGAAGTTACTGATATTTGAAGTAGGAGTCATAGAATAGATTTTCTAAATGTTTCAAAACACAATAATCGAATCTTTATGATATAAATATGAAAGAATCCTTGATGAATCAATTGACGTTCTGATTGAAACAAATTTATCGTTCTTATTAATAGTTGATGTAGAACCAACAAATTCAGTCATTTTGTTCGGAAATGATTATTATTAATCCTAGTAGGAAAAACTGTGAAGACAAAAAAAAACAAGGAAACTTTTAATTTTCATAGAAATTTTATGTTATTAATGAAACATTTCTACAATCAAATCTTTCTTATGTTTTATTCTGAAATTCGATCCGTTTCTTTTCTAATCTAATTAAAACACAATTAAATGTCTATCTTGACAATCTTTTACTCCATCCTGTCTTTTCTTTATAGTTTTATGATATTGATAAAAAGAAAAGTTATTTTACTTTGCATCGTTATTAATCATCATTATTCATATCTGAATTTTTTTCTGCTCTGAAAATCTACTTCAAAATATGTACAAAGTAAGTTCTATTCCATAGGAAAAATCCTTAACCAAATCCATTTTTTTGAACAAAACCTCTCAACACAAAGTGGACAAATATCCATTGAATATTCAAGACGGAAAACAAAACTGTTATGATATGACATCTACATTTCTGTAATTATTCATCCTTTTGTTGTTCATACCATATTTTTTTCTTCCTCTTGAAAATATGTCGTAGAATATTGTACACGAAATAAGGTTGGATATCAAAGCTCTTCGTACATATCATGTAAAGCCAACAGCCATTGATCAATATTTATCATTTCATCTTTAGTCAATATTTTAATCGATTTTAATCGTTGTTGTTCATTTTCACGTATTACATCCCAATTCGTAGAAACAGTAACTTGCTTTTTATTATCACCATCGGATTCGCCGATAGAATGTAAGGTTGACATAGTTGAAATAGAACCAGGTTGAACAGATAATTCACTTTTAACTTATTGACGAGAAGATTGATATTGTAATTCAGAAATAGGTGTTGCGTGCAAATCCAAATCTGAACGTGTATTTTTAGACATACTAATAATAGATACAATCCTCTAATAAGGATATTCCCAAAAAATCCAAAATAATTAATATAAATAATAATCAACGTTGATTTGCACTTAAATCACCGCTGACACCACTGTTAGGTTCTATCTTTTCTCAAGGGCAAATATAAGTTCATTTCAAATAGAACGCTAACCTTTTTTTATTTCGTTTTATATTTTTTCCTTCTATCTGACGAGGTCATCACGCACATATATATGTGTCAAAGAAAAGGTGGAGAAGAACAAAAGAAAAGATGAAAGAAAGATAACACGATAGAAAAAGATGAACAATTACAGAAATGTAGATGTCATATCATAACAAAAACTTCAAGCAAAAAACTAATATCAATCAAATAGAAGCATCCATAGAGACGTTTCGCATACCGACAACAACGAAATATAGGTGAATCTGCAACGAAAACAAAACAACGTCAAGAGTAATCACACGAACAAAATCTCAATATTCATTACATTGAATTATTTTTATTTTATGTCATCTCATTCATCCTAAATTTCTTGTTGTCTTTTTGGGCCGTAATTCTTCATTTTAAATTAGAGAGTGCCTTTAATTGTGAGGTAAATAGCATCATTTAGGACTATGTCAGCCGAAAAACAATAATTAGTATAATAGTCGTATTTTCACTGAAGGGAAACATCGAACTTCAATAGGTATAAAAATAACTACGACTACAAGACTTCGAAAGACTCTAAAGGATTTTAGAAGACTTCGTGAAATTTCAAGAGAAAAATCTGTATTGTTTTCCCTTCGATTTGGTATATAAGAAATTCTTTATTCTATATTCTTCGCTTATCTCCATCAACGATTTCTTTAATCGTTCACATGTAGTGCTTTATTAGAATAATTTTCTCCAATTATTTTACGTAGCTGTCATAATTAGACATGAACTAATTCCAATTCTAGTCAAGTTCACTTCTAGTCGAAAAATTAGAATTTGTGTATCCGTGAGAGAAAATAACATAAACAGAAGTGAACCTAAACGTAAACTTGAATCATTCGATTATTTTTAGTGTCGAACCTAAACTTCCAAATGGTCTGAATTTAAACTTGAAGTTAGGGGATGTCTAGTCGTAACATAAAAAAATAAAAAGATGCCGTTGAAACAAAAAATAACAGTGACAATCGCTTGTTTTGTTTATGACAGGGAGAAATTAGAATCTTGCGGAACAATCTCGAATTCTAAAAGATTCCGTAGGACGTTCGGAATTGAGACATTTGAAAAAAAATGGGACGGAACTCGGAGAAATACGTTAGATCTAAGTGAGATAACCAGCTTATGCCAGAGTTTCATCGTTCTTTCAACCGAAAACTGATGAAAACTAGTTCGCATAAGATTCATGCTGTTGTTAAAGCAGTAAAATGTAAGATGCGCATAATGCGAAAATCGAGTAAATTTTTTTCTCGCTTCTTTATATATCATTCGATAAAGCACGAAAAGATGGATAGAAGTGTATTATTTTTAAATCAGTTAATTCATGTTTTTGACAAAAGAAAAGCAAAATATTAGAAAAGTATGAAAAATAATTCAAAACTGCTAAAAAAAAAGAGTTTTTCTCCGAAATTTTCAAGTCTTTTGTTCCTTAAACTTGAGTAATTTTTCAAAGGATTATTTTCTAGTTCAACATTAAAATCTGAGTTAAAAGATATTATTTGAATGAGTTTAAGATAGAAGTATTGTCCAATATGAATCTGTTGAATATAGGAGTGTACCAAATCCGATTCCAGTCAAATCCAAATCTTAGATTTGACTGGGTTTGGATTTGGGTTTGAATTTGATGTACTTCCCACAGAGATTGTAGATTTTCGGTATGAAAACACATCAAATCCGGCCAAATTTTTGTGTCATTTTTATTTGGTTTTTTTGCTTTATCCGATAGTGGTACTAGATTTCGTCTAACATCAAAAAAAGTCCTAAGATTTGACTAGATTTGACAAAAAATGTGGAAAAAACGAAATCTAGTACCCCTATCAGATAAAGCAAAAAAAACAAACAAAAATGACACAAAAATTTGATCGGATTTGATGGGTTTTCATACCGAAAATCTACAATCTCTGTGAGAGGTACATCAAATCCAAACCCATTTGAATAAGACCACTCAAACATGTTTTTTGTGGTATCCATAGCCACTTTTGTGAACATTTCTAGTTTTTTTCTTTTAAGAGATACGATCAAATGTCATATCTGATTGAAATCGCTGGATATTAACCTTTAAACGTATCTAATTAGTGTTTTTTAGATTTTGTTTTATCGTTGAGAGAATTACATTCCTTCGATTTTCTCCTATTGGCACGCTAAAAGTGTAAAAAAAAAGTCTGTACATGTTTACTTCATTTTGCCTTTAGTTTTTCGTGATGTAAAAACAACGAGATAAAATATTCGGATTCAGCATAGAAAACTGCAATGAATTATATTTCTTTTAGCCAAAAATGTTTTTCATGAAAATCATCTTTCTCAAAGACTAGAGGACAAATTTCCAAAAAATTATATCTGCAAGAAGGTACAGGTATAATATCATAAGAATTTTTTTTCTTTGCTGAAAGATATTTAATTTGTCATAGTTGTTTAGACTGATTCTGAATATTTTATTTTTTTTTATATCATGAAAAATCAAATGCAAAACTAAGTAAACATATACAAATTTTTTCACGCTTTTAGCGTATCAGTAGGAAAAATCGGAGGAATGTGATTCTCTCAACGATAAAAAAATCTAATAAGATATGTTTGAAGGTTAATATTCAGTGATTCTGATTAGATATGACATTTGATGCTATCTCTTAATACAAAAAGCTAGAAACATTTACAAAATTGACTATGAACGCTACAAAAGCATATTTGAGAGGTCTTATTCAACAGATCCATGTTGAACGACACTTCTATTTTAAATTCATTCAAATAACATCTTTTAACTCAGATTTTCATGCCGAATTAGAAAATAGTCCTTTTAAAAAAACTAGATGGTATTCGAGCTTCACTCGAATACGAAATGCGGTGCGAAGCACGAATCGAGAATTTTGAATAAAACGGTATCTTATACAAACGAATAATCGAGTTTACGATTCAATCGAAATCCGATTGTTTCATGAGCTTATCTATGTTTGACTTCAATCACTGATTCTTTTTCTCTGTCTGTGAATTCAAGAATTCACATTTCAATCAAACAGCTGATCGAGATTTTGAAATAATTCCAAAGGAGCCGTAGTAAAATTCATTACTGCGAAAACTCTACCTATGCATATCAACACACTCTTACAAATCGCTGTTCATTGGTCATTTAATTATCTAAATGACTCATTACCTACTATCAGCTGCATTTACAGCTGTTTGACAAGTAAGCTCAGAGAGTGGCGCCTGTCTTTTGTTGTTTTAATTACCTCGTTATCTCGAAATGAATAAAGCTTAAAGTCGTGTTAAATTCGTCATTTTCGACAGCTTTTTCTGAGGAAACCGAAGGTGATTTCGAGATGAACTCCAAAGATTGTATCAGCTCGGTCTCAATACTTGGAATTCGCGTTTCGACGACTATTTTCGAAGTTGTAGTTCTCGTGATCATCGCGATTTAATTATTTCGAAGTTTGAAAAAAATCAAAGTCCTGAAAAATTTGACTTTTTTCGGTCCTGTTTGTATGCAAATGGAACATCGTAACGAAAATCGAAAAAAAAAAGGAGGTTTCGGTTCAACCTCGATGCTTTCATCTCATGCTTGAACGAGGATTTTCTGACTATCGGCTGTGGAGATCATTGCGACACAAAATGTGAAAAAATCTGCGTATGGTCTAGCTAGAAATAAAGAAAGAAACCTCGCGACACAGTTCTATATAGGTACTTCGCACCTTAAAAACTTGTGACGCTCTACTATAAAGTGCTTCACACCTTAAAAACTCGCGACGCAGTACTATAAAGTGCTTCGCACCTTAAAAACTCGCGACGCAGTACTATAAAGTGCTTCCCACCTTAAAAACTCGTGAAGGAATACATAAATGCTGTGCTTCGCACTGCATTAACTACTAAAATTTAAGTAACAAAAGGCTTGAAAATTTCTGAGAAAAAACTCGTTTTTTAGTAGTTTTCAATCGTTTTTCATACCTTTCCAATTTTTTGGTTTTTTTTCGCCTGAAACGTGAATCAATCGATTTTAAAATAATATATCTCCAACCAACTTTTCGTGCTCTATCAAACGATATATAAAGAAGTGACAAACAATTTGCTCGATTTTTGGCTTATGCGTGCCTCACATCAACCGCTGTTTTCAAAGTTGTTGATTGTTAACTAGACAACTATTTATGTGCTTGAATAGTTGTTCTGTATATTCTTTGCCTTATTTCAATACCTTTCCGTTTACAATTTTTCTGCCCTGTTGCTCTCAATACTGCAAACAAATTTTATTATGAAAAAAATTTTCTTTAATTTATTCTTATTTTTTTCAATTTCATAAACTTCGTTTTTTTTCCTATTCAACAATCATTATTAAATATAATTAATAACAAATACAATCATATATCTTATCATATATATTGATTTGTCCAAATTGAGATTTTTATTTTTGAGCCGAACGGCTTGGCACACATGCGCGCACACATCGAACAGAAAAAGAAGAAAAAAAATTTTGTGAAGAGAATAACTTCGAACAGAAAAAAACACACAGGGCAAGAGAATAAAGAAAAACAATGTATAGATTTTCCAAAAAAAAAAAGAAAAAAGAATTTTGTTTTGTACAGAGATAAGAAAGAAGATAGACAACTCGATTCGGAAGTTTAGTCTTTTCAAATGTTGTCATCATCGTTTTATTTTAATACGCAATAGTGCGCACATATACTGAGATTCGTCGTTCGATTGGCAACAAAAAGAAAAAACAAAGCAAAGCAAACGGTTAGCCTAGTAGCACAATGAACAAGCGGCACTGTAGGACACATTTAAACAAAGCAAAATCTGTAATTATGTTTACAATGGAAAGAACAAAAAAAAACAAAAAGGGAGACTAGCACGCAAGCTCTTTGAGTTTAAACAAGACTAAAAAAAATGTGACATAGTAATACACATATGAAAAAAAACCGATCAGAAGTACTCTTTTAAACATATGTGTAATAACCAGATAGAATATCTCAACTGTACAAAACACTCGCATTGTCATCGTTGTATAAGAAAATTTCATACATCTCAAAAAAAAAAAAAATACTTTCTTTTCAATCAAGTATTAATATGAGGAAAAAAACAAAAGACTAAAGAATAATACCAAGAGGTCAACAAAGATTTCAATCTTCATACATAATACAAAAAAAGAAAAGAAAAACAAATGCAAAGAACGCGAGAAAAATGAGACAATATTTCTTTTTCTTTTTTTTTTTTTTTTTTTTTTTATAAAAAGGTTTTTAGTTCATTGTGGCCGTCAATAAAGAAAACTAATTCATTTATTAATACGTATACATATGTATCAAAGAGAAGAAAAAAAAAAAGAAAAAGAAGAAAAGTCACTGGAATACAAATACACTAACAATTATCTGCGCATATCGATTGTCAAGTCGATGATTTGCTATTTAGATTTTTTTTGTTTTGCTTTTGAAAAGTAGACGAAAATAAAATGAGAATAAAGAATTTGCTACCTGTCGAATGGATGATGATCACGAGAAGCTAAAAACAAAAAAAAAAAAAACTTTATTAATATAATATTAAAATGCGCCTGTTATCCAGATACAAAAATTATTTCACAAATGACTAATACTGAACATTTCATATGTTTGAAATAATTCTTTTGAGTAATACAAAAAGATATGGAAACGTGACGATATAATTATGTCTATTGACCTTACGAGAGAAGTTCTCCAACTTATGAATTGCAGAGTATATGCATTATGAAGATCCAAATTGAACTATGAATATCCTATAGAATTCGTACCTTTAGCTTATTGCTGCAAAGATACTATGGTATTTTTTAAAATGAATATTATGTTCCCGTTGGAAACATCAGAAATACTGATGATTTTCAAATTTTGTATAGAGACAGACCTTTAGTTTATATGAGCGATGTAAAAGACACGCTATTACTATCGTTATATCTTAGGATAAGAACAGCGACAAGATCTGAAACATTCACAAAAACCTATTTTCGTTAAGACTTGTCTCTATGCAAAGTTTCAAGTTGAAAATCAGCTGTTCTCGTGTATCTGATGGGAGGGAGCCAAGATATCCATTTAAAAAAAAAATACTATAAAAGTTTAGTATCTCCGTAGTAATAAGCTAAGGGCGCGAACTCTTTTCAAGGCATTCATAGCTCATTTAAATCTATATAATATGCATAACCTCAACTCAAAAGCGATTTAGCAGTTGGAGGATTTCTCTCATCAAATATACTATTAATTTTGCTTGCAACTGTATGGAAAGTAAAAAATCAACGAAATAACTGTGTCTCATTTAGGGATGTACCGAGACCGAGAGCTCGGTCTCGGTGCGTCTCGGTCTCGATCCGTCTCGGTCTCGGTCTGCCTCGATCTCGGTCTCGCTCAGTCTCGGTCTCGCTCAGTCTCGGCCGAGAATGAACGAGACCGAGAGTCTCGGTCTTGGCTAGCCTCAACCTTGGTATTGAGTAGTGCCGATCTCGATTATACTTAATCTCGATCATTTCTCTATCATAGATAAGTGTGCTACTCTGTCTCGGGCGAAATTATATTTCTTTAAGCTTTTCAGCTGAGATTGACCGAGACCGAGACTGACCGAGATCGAGACGGGCCGAGACCGAGACCGAGACCGAGCCGACTCGAACCGAGAGTCTCGGTTCAGTCTCGGTCTCGGTACATCCCTAGTCTCATTATTATATTTTCACATGATTATGATAAACATTGTCAAATCATTTTTCGACCGAGACGATATTCATATAATGAGAACCATAAATTTAAGAATAAACAAAATAAAAATGTTTATACTTCATGAAAATAATTCAGAAACAAAACATTCATAATCGAACAATAGTATTCAAAGGATGAAAATCATTATAAACTTACACATATAATTGGAATTATTATACTGTTGTTGCCTTTGTAAATGAGCATGATAAGGATATTGTTGTGGATATGCATGAGATGGATGAATATGAGGATGATGATGATGATATTTCATAGAATGAGGATGAAAATGACCTGATGTTGTTGAATGTGGATTAAGAAATGGATGTGGATATGGAAAATTAAAATATGGTGGTGGTGGTGGTGGTGCAAAATGATGATAAGTTTGAACATATGGATCAATATGAATTGGTGGTGGTGGTGGTGGTACAGGTAAAATAGGTGGTATTAATGGTGGCTCTTGTGATGTTCGATAATTATGATTTGGTAATGAACGTGATTGTTGATAAATTTGTGATGATGTTATTCTTGATGATCGATTTGATGATGATGATGATGATGATGATTTTTTTGAATGATGATCTTTAATATATTTTTGTTGTTGATGTTCAAAATAAGGTGGTGATATATCATTATAATTAGATGATGATGTTGATGATTGTGATTGATTATGTAAATGTTTTTGTTTATTTGCTGTTATTAATAATGGTGTTGGTGAAACGGGTTCAAGTTCTTCTGTATCAATAGCATAATCAAGATTTGTTAATGATTTACTACTTGTACTACTTGTTATACTTGATTTTCTATGACGATGTTTTTTTTTATTTGAACTATTTGAAAATTGTTGACAAAAATTTTCATATGTATTAGATTTTTGTTGTATTAAATTATTATGATCAATTTCAGGTGGTGGTGTTATAAATGTATTATTATTTTGATGATGATGATCATTATTATTATTATTATTATTATTAAGTAAATCTGAATAATTTGTTGTTAATTTTTCATTTTTTGTTTGATTAATTAATAATGGTGGTGAATTTTGTTTATGTTCAATTGATGATATTATACTTGATGGTGGTGTTTGTTCATTAATCATAAAACCTGAATGTATATTTGTTGATATTTGTAAATCATTTTGTTGTATTGTTGATAATGGTGATGTTAAAATTTCATTTTTAGGTAATAAAGTTTCATTAGATGTTGGTGGTGATGGTTGATGATATAATTGTGCTAATGGTTGTTCAAAACGTGTTAAACCAGCATATTCAGTTTCAATTTGATTATTATTATGAGATTTTTTTTTATTTTGTTGATGAAATTTTTTCTTTTTTATTTTACGAATTTTTTTATCAAGAGAATTTTGTATAGGTAATTTTGTTCGTATAGTTATTTTTAATGATGGACGTTCAATATGTTGTTTAGGTGATGATGATTGTTCTTCAATTTCTTTAATAAAAAATTTTTCTATTGGATATTTTAAATTAACTGTTGGAATTGTTAAATGTTGTTCATGAAGTTTATTAAATAAAATATTTTGTTGATATTTTAAATTTAAATAATATTTTTTTTGATAACGTATAAATGTTTGTTCAAATAATTCTAAACGTTTTGATGATGATGATGATGGTTCAATTTGTTCAATTAATTGATCAATATTATCAATAATAATTGAATTTTTTATTGATGTTTGTCCTTGATTTTCAATTATTTCATATTGATTATTATTATTATTTATTGTATCACATAATAATTCTTCAATTTCATCATTATTAAAAGAATCAATTTTATCTGAATTTAATTCATTTAAATGACCTGAATCAAGAATAATTTCTTTTGGAATTGGTGATGAAGGATTTGATGGTGATGATATAGGTTCAAACATAATAGATGATTTTGTAATTGGTTCAATTGATTGTAATTGTTGTTGAATAAAATTTGTTGATATTATTAATGTATCTGATATAGGTGAATATGATGTTATTTCTTCATTATTAGATCTATTTGTTAATGATAATTCCGAATTATTATTATTAGGTGATTTTGTTGTTAATAAATTATTTGAAAGATTTTTTATTGGTGTTATTAATTCTGTTGTTGATTGTTCATGATTAATAGGTGAATGTATTTGATCATATTGTAATATATCATTAATTGAATCATTAAGAACATTTTCTGTTAAATTTGTTGATGTTAAAATTTCTGATTGTAATTTTTCAAGTATAACAATTGGTTGTTCTTGTTGTTCGGATTCATTTTGTTGTTTATTTTCATAAGTTTCTAATTGTTTTTCTAAATTTGTTTGTTCATTTTCAATAGGATAAAAATATTGTAATTCATTAAATACTGTTGAATTTTCTTCAACAATTTGAATATTTGTATTTTTCATTATTTCATTAGCTGCTTCAAGTAATACAAATGAAAAATCTGTTGATACAACAGATGGATCATCAGCAGCTGTAGCTTGTGCATGTCGTAATGCATCTTGATCTGTAACCATAACTAAATCATCGAGAATATCTTGATATTTTGAAGATTCATATGTAGCTACTTGACTTGGTTCAATATGACGAGCACTTGAAAAAAAAAGAATAATATTTAATAGTTTTGAAGATAAATTTCCAAGTAAACTCGATTTTTGCGATATGTCTATGGCTGCTAGTGGCTATTTGTAGAAAATTCAATATCTTGAGAAATGAAATTTTTTTTCCCGATTGAAACTTTTATGATTGAGGTAATTCTTTCGTTAGTATGAGATCGTTTTATAGAAAGATGTGAGATATGATTCAATGTTATAGTATCAAAGAATTAGTTATTATTCTCATTGCTTACATTCCATACTGAAATGAATATAACGATAAGAACAAATGTTGAACTGTAGGTTTATCGTTCTAATTGAATTTAAGACTAATGATAAATCTCAATGATATTAAGAAAAATTCTTAAAAGTATTTAATTCATGACGTACAGTTGAAGAGTTATAAGTATTTTATTGAATATTTTAATTACAATAAGACATTGGCGAAAAAATTAAAATATTTCGTCTATGAGGTAAGTCTTTCGAGAGTCTACCACAATCGTATCGACTTTATGGGAATGATATGAAATCGATGTAATTGTGCTACGCACTTGAAAGAATAACCTTTTCGTTTTTCATAAAGTTTTCAAAATGACTACGTAATATAATGTATTCATAGGTAGCATTTTATATGAAAATTTTCTCTTTTTATACTTCTGAAATTCCTTATTTTAAAGTCGAAAATTCAATCAAATGAACATAACTCTTCAGCAGTATGTTGCGAGTCTAAGGTCTTTTAAACTTTTATTTTTATTTTTTTTATTACTCACACAGAGATAGGAGTGACACAAATCCAAAGTCTTGAGATTTGATAAGATAAGATGAAATCAACAACAATGATCTACTTGACTAGAAGTACGGAACAACCAGAAAAAGATTTTAGGATTTGGTTTTGGTCTTGAACAAAAATAATATAAATAATTTGCGTCTCGATAATGATCACTGAATTGCAAATTATTTATGTAAATTTGGTTTAAACACAAATCCAAGTCTACTCTATATTTTTTCTCATTAGGTTAATAGTAAAATTCAAGGAGAAAATTCCTCGAAATTAATCTTCAATCTAGTGATCTGTAGTATTGATGTAAATACTGAATAATAAGTAATCGATCACAGAGTCCACTAACTATAATGATATTCATGTTCACTGCAACATTAAAACATCAACTCCAGAAAATTTTGCCCTTTTTGTAGTGATGTGTTCCAATATTTCAATATGCATTAACTATACTAAATTATTGGTCAATAAACTAAAACTGTACATCTCTCCTTCGAAATTTTCAAATAAAAATCATAACTAAATAAAATAAACAAACGATTCAATAAAAAACGTTATTTAATAATCTACTTACGTCAATTGAACACCTTCTTCTGGTAATAAAGACATTGTACTATTATTATTATTATTATTAAATGCATTTGTTTTAAATGTTTGTCGTTGTGAACCAAGTGGAACAAGAGTTGTAAAAACATTATTATTAATTAATGATGAACCTGAATAAATGGAAGGAGGAGGAGGAGGAAGCGATGATTGATTTTGATGTATTATTGTTTGTTCATTAATTTGATTGTGTTGTTGTTGTATTTGTAATAATTCATTATTATTATTATTATTAGTTAAAATATTAGCAAAGATATTTTGATCTGAATGAACATGTAATTTAATACCTGGATCATCTAAATCAAATTGTTTTAAAAAAATATTTTCATCAAAATTCATTTCAACAAAACGCATATCTTCTTCATTCATAAATGATGTTATTTGTTCATTTTCAACATTATAATCATTTATTGTTTGATTTGTTAATATTGTTGTTGTATCATTTTCAAGTCGAATATTAAATTCATCAAGTGTTGGCATTGATGTTGTTGATTGATAAATTTCTTGTTGTTGTATAGGATTATTAACAATACGTTGTAAATTTATATGATCTGTTGAAATAATTGAATTATTTTCATTTGTTAATAAGTTACTTGTTGTTGTTGTTTGTGATAGAAAATTTGATGCAATTAATTCTTGATCAAAATTTTCTAATAAACCTGATATTGATTCAGCAAATGAATTAATTGGTGATGATGATGAATTTTGTTGTAAAATATTTTCACTATGAGAATGAATTAATGTTTTAGTATTACGTTTGGATTGTTTTTTATTTGTTATTGAACGTTTTGTTATTGAAGAATTATTTGATGTTACTAAACGTTGAACATTTACTATTGATGGTGTTAATGTTCGATTAAGATTTGGTGCTATTGGTATAAGTGTAGAATTATTTGACGGTATAATTGTTGATGATAAAGATGTTTTTTTATTACGATTACGTACACGATTTTTACTAGATTTTTTATTTGCTGTTGTTGAAAGACTTGTTGTTGTTGTTGTTGATAAATCTATTTGATGATCTAATGATGGTGATAAACATGTTGGAGAATTATTATCAACAAATGATGATGATGATGATGATGATTTTGTTTCATGAGCAACAACAGAATTATAGGCCTAAAATATATATTTATATAGTTTTATTTCATAAATGAAAGTGTCTTCGTTCGTCTTTCGATTATAGTTTGTATAGGAAAAGGTATCTTTCAATAAAAAACAGAGTTAAAATTACTTTTCTATTACATTTTCCTACAACATTGTAAATCATATTAAGTACAATGAAGTTTTGTCAGTTATCACAGAGGACTATTACTATAGGATACATGTGCCAATTGGTTGCTTCCACTCATCAATGTAATCAAGAAACTTTTTTAATCTTCGCAAGGGTACCTGAGCACTTCTCTTGATCGAAAAACATTTGAACAGGAGTACGAATACAAAATAAAGACTATTTCACAAAATCAAAATTCTTTTTCTGTTGGTGTGGATCTTCCATGAAATATTTCTATGTACGCCTCTGAACCTACATCTAACGGATGGATCGAACGTTTGAAGACAAAATATTTATTTACTTTCGGCTTGTTTGAAAGTATGTCCAAGGAGTCAAAAACTATGAGTTAGGACCAACATATTGTGTACTTTCTGAATAATATAAGCTTAGAAATTTTATTTCAGTTTTTCTGTTCGAGAATAGTGAGATAATCTTTGAAAGGCTCAAAAATGAATTTCGATGGAAAGTGTAAATCAAAGCTTTCTAATACAAATGATTACTCACTATTGTTTGACATGAGTCAAATTTTTGTCATCTGACCCGACCCGACTCGACCCAAGGTCAAGTAATTTTTTAGTGACCCGACCCGAGTCAAACACTATTACTCAATTCGATCTGTTTGAAAATATTTCAGACGATTTTATATGCTTTATATTTTGAATAGGTAAAAAAAAATATTTTTGTTTTTCGTCGAAAAATTTGTTCCTCTGGAAAATTAGCATATAAAGTCCTAAGGAAATTTCTTACGGTTCTATTTGAAATTAGAATTTTTAATTTATTAGTTTTCAAAATAAAAATATAATTCATTTAAGAAAAAGACATAATGTTTATTTAATAATCTATTAAATTAATTTACATTATAACAAATATTTCTCACGATTGAAGGTCTTCATCCCTCCGAAATTGATTTTTTTTTAAAAAGATAAACATACATATATATATATACATAACCCTCTAAGGTGTCTCATATGAAAATTCATAAAAACGATTTCTAATTTAAAAACGTTTAATCAGAAATCATGATGAATATCTTGAGCCCTGCAGCGAAAAAACTGCTATGCGTAGCTAGAAGGTTACTCGATAAGACTCTAGATGGATTTTTAATTAGTGCATGATATAACTATATTTGATGCTCATATCCGAAAGGCCTTCGGGTATATATATACAAAGAAAAAAAAAAGATGTTCACACGTTTTTTTTACGACATAGGTTTGTTGCATAAATTATCAAATTACGAATAAGTTTCTTTTCGATAGTATTCGTTGTAGTGAACTAAAACTCTTTCTTTTTTTTTGTATTCGATAAATAAATTTATTCTCTCTTTCGTATGAGGGAAATGGATTTGATAATATTAAAAATTACACTTGTAATTCTATTCTCAAAATAGATTATAATTTACTTGTAAAGAATTCGTTCTTGATGATGGTTTAGGACGAATAGGTCTTGGATATTTATATTTTGAATCATTCGAATCATTATCAATTAAATTCGTTGTATCATTATTTGTTGTTGTTGTTGTTGTTGATGATGATGATGATGATGATAATTGTCTTGTAATACTTTCATAATGTTCAGGTTTTATTTTCGGTATAACTGGTACTAATTCTTGATGTTGATGTAATAATGATAATTTTGGTCGAATTGATATTTGATGTTGTTCAGTTGATGATGATGATGATGTTGAAGGTAATAATTCATTAACATTTGTATTTGTTATAATAGAATTTGCAGATGCAGATGATGATGATGATGATGATGTTGTTGTAGTTGTTGTTGTTGTTGGTGTTGTTGATGATGAAGATGATGATGTTTGAGATAAATAAACAACATTATTTTGTGAAGCAAAAAATGATTGTATTGAATCTAAACTAACATTATTAAAATTAACTAAATTAATTGGTTGAATTAAATTTGTATTATTTTGTACGAGTGTATTTGAACTATTTTGTACAAATGGTTGTGTTGTTGTTTGTATAACTGTATTAAAATTAGGTGTTATATTTGATTGATTACCATGTATAGTTTGTCCATTATATGTTTGTTGATTTATAGAACTATGATTATTAATATGTTGATGATTGATTTGATTTATATTATTTATTGAATTTGTTGTTAATGTTATATCGGAATGATCGAATGTTATATTTGTTGAATCTTTTTGTTGATTTGATATTGGAAATATTGTATTATCACTAGATTTTCCATTTTGATTTATTGAAGAATCGAGTAAAAGTCCTTCTATAGAAAATGAAAGAAGTATTTTGTCTTTTTGAAAAAGAAGATAAAAAGATATTTACGAGAACGAAGTAATTGTAAAAGTTTTGCATTTTCTTCTCGAAGATTTCGAACTGTATCTTCAAGATCAGCTGTTTTATTATGATCTAAATGAAATTATGTTTTTTGTTAAACAAAAACAAATAAAGATTTATATAAACCTTTTTTATCTGGTTCAACCATTGAATTAAGAAACATTTATTTGATAAAATAGAATAGAAAACAATTACAATAATACATAACATTGATAAATATCAATAGTGCACTGTTCCATGACAATGATTTACATATATATGTATATATTAATATAATAAGAAAAAAAAAAGACAAAAGAAAAAATAGATCTAAAAAGAAAAAATTAAAGAAATGTTTCGATTATGCATGAAAGCAAAGAAAAAGTTGATTTTTTATAAAAATGAAACAAGCATGACGACAAATGTGTCAACAACCATGATTTAATTTTTCACGCCTCCTCGAGACGTTTCCTCGTCTTTTTTTTGATCAGGTCAATAGCATACAAAAAAATTCTTAGCAATTCAAGGCTATCTATTACTAGAGTCTATTGAAAATAAATAAAAAATACAAATAAAAAATTTTAATTAATTAATTTTTTTACAATAAATATTTTCATAAAAGAAATTTAATCAAGAACTAGAAGATTTTGATTTTTTTTTCCCTATAGATGTCACTTTTAGAAATTAAAATATTCATAAATAATTTATATTTATATTTCTCATGAAAAGAAACTAAAAATAATTAAAATTCTGTTAATGTCTAATTTATATAATCAATAGCTGTCATGACAACTGAAAGTAATTGTATTGCTTATTATTTCATTTTACTTGGTGTTATATAGCCAAAAAAACACGAATATACCTCGCATCGGTGCTTGTCAAACGGTGTACGTAAGCCAAATATTATAATTGTCAACGATAAAAAAAAGAACGGAATAGAGAACGAAAAAAATCATTTTTTGTTTTGTCGTTCACGCAATCATGTGTGAAGTGCGTAGGAACAGAGAAAGAGTAGTATCGATTATTTCTGACAGTATACATGCAACCAAGCACTTGACATGTATATAGTTACTGTAATGTTTCTCGTTTCGTGACTTTTATATCTATGATAAGGAATGATAAACATCGTCTGATGTTTTGTTTTTTTTTTGACTAAAATATAAATGATGTAATAATCTATTATTGATTTTATTCAATTTTTTCTTTGTTCTCTTCAAATTAATACATGTACAATTAAAAAAAGAAACCTATTAATTCCATCAGTTTTAAAGAAAAAACAATATATATATACATATATATATATTATTTTTTTTCTTTCATTGTCCACTATTGTTTTATGGTTGCACAAATAAATATATATATAAACGAAATGATGGAGCAAAAAAAGAAAAGTGTGTGAAGGAGAAAAAAAAGAAATCTATTCTCTCTTCTCTTCCAATCACAAAATAACATCCGTTGCAGCAACAGTTGTATCGTCGATCATCATACTACTTCATCGTCGTCTTCGATTGAGTTGCACAAATGAATGTATGTGCTGAGACTGACTGACTGACTGACTTTCTTCCATTCTGTCTGTCTCATTGCTTTCTTCTTCTCATGCCCCCCGACTTTTTTTTACTACATCACAATGGCGTAGAAAGAAAGGTCTAGCTTGTTGTCATTCATTCATTCATTCACTCATATGTCTTTAGATGAAACAACATACAGTGAATGAGTAGAGAAAAACAACAACCAAACATTACACTCAAATGCGGTTAGTAATAAACAAAAAAGTACAAGATTTCTTTTCATTTGTTATCGAAAAAAATGTAAACCGATCGCGTTTGACTTTTATACTGATATAATTATATTCACAAGTAATATTATCACTAATCTTCTCAGTTTTCGTTTTGTCATTTATCTTTATAATATAATAAATTCTATGCTGTTACTCTTTTGCTAGATTTCACCTGTGTACGTGCATGAAAAGAAAATGCACTTTAAGATTATGTAATAATCAGCTAGAGAGAGAGAGAGAGAGAGAAAGAGAAAGAGAAAAAGAAAGAAAATAGAAGCGAACAAAATCTGTATATATAAAGTGGTTCTGCTCTTTTTCATGTATCGTCCTCCATATATTTGGACATGTCATAACCGCAGTTGGAGAGCGAGAGAATCGAGCAAGAAAAAACGGAATTTCGTCAACCCAACACGTCAGTATCAGCCAAGGGCGGACATGCTTAGATTGACCTCGAACACTGGGATGGATGGTTAGAAAAGAAAGAAAGAGAGAAAAAGAAAGAGAAGAGCAAGACAAAAAAAAAAAAACAGAACAGTTCATCAAGAGCTAACAGAAAAGATGCGTACTAGAATGATAAGTTAAGCTAATGGCTCTGCGTTGAATCTCATGGGTCCAATTGATCCGATGACAAGCGTATTCCATTACATATACCCTTCTCTTTCTCTCAAGTTATTCTTCACTTTTCTTCTTGCCCGTTTGCACCATCATCGAAAGATCGTGCTTTTGCTATAATTGTATTCCTCTCTTTCCCATTATCTAGTGTTGTAGTCAATCCCCCCCACGATTGTCTTGTTAAGGGCATCATTATTTTTATTTGAGCAGAATATAGTATATCATTGTCGTTGTATTAAGCTTATACATATAAGGATCATCGTTATAATGAGATTGTTGTTGATATTATTGTTTGATTGTTTATGAGCCTTGACACTCGTATCACATGAAGACAAAAGTACGTTATAAGTATGTATGCTATATATTTATGTGTGCATACTTCTATGCATGATTGCATTTCTTTATCCTTTTTTTTTTTTGCTCTTCGTTTTCATTCATTTATGGTTTCTTTTTCTTTTTTTTTTCTTTTTGTTTAACCTTCATCATTAATTAATAAGCCTTCTTTTTTTTTTTTTTTTTTTTTTTTTTTTATATGAGAGTATTCATTTGCTCTATATGTGTCTATCGTCAATCAATCGATTTTAGATTTTTTTTTGATTACCATCTAATCACGTGTGTATGTATGTGTTTGTTTTTTCTATTTATAGATGTATCAATACGATTGTTAAAATAGTGATCGGGGATAGTAATAAAAGTAACAGTAAACATCTAAAATAATGGTAGCTAGAGATTGTTATACCGTTTTGGGTGTTAAATCAACAGCAACAGATGATGAAATTAAAAAAGCTTATAGAAAAAAAGCTCTTCAATATCATCCAGATAAAAATCCGTCTGCAACAGCTGAAGAAACATTTAAAGAAATAAGTAAAGCATATGAAACATTGAATGATGTCGATAAACGTCGAACATATGATTTACAACAACAAAAACCTTCAACAACAACAACATCAACAAAATCTGCTTCACAACAACAACATAAACAAGAAACATCATTTAAAACATCATTTCATGCACCCGGTCAACCACATTTCACATTTAATACATCAACAACAAATGATGGTTCAACATCTTCACGTTCAGCACGTTTTCGTTTTCATCGTATGGGTCAAGATCCATTTACAAATGTTCATCAACGACATTCACATTTTAATAATACATTTTTTGATCCATTTCGTAGACATTTTCGTTCGCCTGGTTTTTCTTTTTTTGATTCAACAAATAGTCATATTTCATCAGATAATGATGACGACGATGATGGAATTGGTGATGATGAAGTTGAACATGATCGAAATAATTCAACTTTTGGTAAATAAGAGAACGAAAAAAAAATGAACGAATCAATATTTATAATAATTGATTTTATTCATTGATTTTGTTTTTATAGGATCAGATGATTTTGATTTTGATTCAGCACCACCAACACGTCGTTCTAGTCAAACACGTTTTACAACAAAATCTCGACCAAAATGGAACAATAATTGGCCATTTGATGATGTTGATGATAATAAATCATCGACATCATCAGAATATAAATTTCCATCAACATTTCAACAACGTTCAAATGTAGATAATCCATTTATGATGTTTGAAATGTTAACACGTGTTGTATTTGATAAATTTTTTACTGATGATCTTTTTTGGCATAATATTGATTTAAGTGATCCATTGAATAATAATAATAATAATAATAATAATAATTCTCAAGATATACATTTTCCAAATTTAAATCAACGACAAACTGCACGGCCAACATCAAGTCGTTTACGTAGTGCTTCACAACAAAGACCACCACCACCAACAAATCGTACACGAATACATGTTAATCATGTACCATCATCATCTAAACAAGCTAATGAAATGCATTTTGATTGGTTAGGACATCATCCAAGACAAAAACGAACAACATCATCATCACGTTTTGATTATAAAGATAGTGATGAAGAAAATATCGAAGATAATTATGTTTATCAACAAGCAAAACCAACAACAATGAATGGTCATCGTTTAAGAAGACGTTCAATGAATAATAATAATAATGAACAAAAAATTCCAGCATGTCAATATTGTTTTCAGCCCTCAACATCAATTGAAAATCGTTTACAACATGAAGCTGTATGTCTACATCGTCCAAATAGACCAACAGGAACAAATTTTCGAAATCGAACTCATCCACCACCACCACTATCAGCAACAAGAAATACAAATGAAGATAAATTATTCACATCAAAATGTTCATATTGTCATCAAGAAGTTCGTTTAACAGATCGTCTTGATCATGAAGCACTTTGTAAACAATTTGGAATAAAACAACAAACAACAAGCAATAGTAGTACAAAACGTTTTAATAATAATAATAATAATAATTCAACATCGAATTCTTTTAATGGTGATAGTCAATCTACTTCAAAAGTATCGTCCGGTAATAAAATGAAACAACCTAACAAAAACAACACTACCAAATAGTTGTGTTGGATTTCTTTTATTTCGTCCATTTTATTTTTGCTTCTTTATATACTCACATTCTGATTTAGTTTTTGCTCAAGCATGAACAAAAAAAAAAAGAAATTATTTTTATTCTGTTCTGTGTCCCTTTTTTCTATTCAGTATCACATGATCATTTTTATATGTTATGATAATTATATAAGCATGCATGTTCTATAAACAGATCTACGTAGAAATATATGCTTTTGATGCTATGTTGCACGTGTTATAGAGTATGTAGGCGGTAAGTAATATGCACTTGCTATGGTTGCTATAGTTAATAATTATCAACATTACTCACGGTAGTCAAAACATGATGAATAATAATATTTGTTTTTTTTTTTTATACATATGTATTATTCATCCTTAATAATATCCTTCTCAAAAAATAATTCTTAAATAGATAAATATATTTATCTATAGTGTTGTTTTATTTATTTATTTCTTTTTTCATACAGATAATTTATCAAGTGGTATTGAACAATTACGAACATGTACTCGTTGTCATCGAATATTTCCTGTTTTATCCGATTTATTTAATCATATGTGTGATGATGAAGATGATTTACTTCAAACAACATCAATATCATCATCAGATAAACGCACCAGTGATACTTTACTTGATTATAATAATAAAAAAACACCGTTAAATAGTAGTTCTTTATTCGATAAAAAATCTTCACCAAATCAAAATTCATCATCACCATCATCATCATCAAAGTCTTTCAAGCTCAGTCGTCATTCATCATTTAATGATTCATCAGGATCTTCATTACGTTCTAAGAAATTATTTTCTTCAAATTCACCAACATTAAAACAACATAAAAATTCAACATCAATACGTATATCACCAACAAATCGTTCAAATAATAATAATAATAATAATAATAATTCATCATTAGACACACAGCATATTCCTCTTTTTAAACGACCTTTATTACGAGCAGATTCAAATAATATACGTCATACGTCATCATCACCATCACCACGACCATTATTTAATGATAGACAACAACATTTATCAAGTGCTTATGTTTATCTTCGAAATCCATCTTCACCTGTGCGTGTCATCGCTTGAACTGAATGAATATAAAAAGAGATATATATGTGTGTGTGCGTGTGTGTGTCTGTCTGTCTGTGTGTTGTGTGTATAGAATAGATATATAATCGATATCGTGAAAATATTACATTTTTTCAAAACATGGATTTATATGAATATATCATTATTGATTTATTTTACTTTTAAAAACATATTAGTTAAGATATAAAAAAACATATTGAATTGAATAAGCTTAAAATAGATTAAGTTATATATTCATCGGATCATTTATTTTAAATAGCTTTTTTCTTAGAATAACTGTCAAAACGGATAAATAACATATTTCAATATCGGCCATGACACAAGTTTCTATTTACCTGAAAACAATCAATTTCATGGTCTGCTAACTTTCTTTACATATGAAAGATAAACGTCATTACACTTCATAGAATCAAGGACGAACATAAATAACAAACGTCTCCTTAACCTAACAACAGTTTATTATTTATTATTAGTTTAATTACATTAAAAATTAATTTGATCATTAATTATACAATTGTTCTTTTCTAATAGATATAGACTGTAATGAACAATAATTCAATTCTAATAGAATATTCATAATTTATTAAACATTCTAATTAATTAAAGATCATTATATGAAATTAATCATCAATAGTTAACTAACAAGAAAAATTTTATCTTATTAGACTTCAACAAGAAATGACACTGAATTGAATAGATCACTGTTATTATCGTCCTCATAATGTCAATGTAACCATAACCCGTGTCACACATTTGTTCGCACTACCGTCATTACACTGATATTCATCAGTCTGGTGGTAGTACTTACGACTTTCGACTTCAGCTATAAACGATTCAAGAGAGAGTGTTTTCTACTCAAATTCGAATTATTTATTAAAAAAAATTCAATTTAACCGAAGTAAAACTAGGTACGGAATATATTTTACTAATGAAAATTTTTGCAGCGCCATCTATAGTAAAAAAACCTACCACATAATTGAGGTCGATGTGGACTCTGTGATTAGTACGGGTGGATCAGTGACATCAATATCATTCGAATGCATCGAAAACGACTCCATTCTGTCAGTTTTGACAGACTTCACAAATACACTTTCAAAAAAACTTATCCCTTTTTTAAAATATTATTTTTGCTCCTCTAGAATTCATTTTTTTCTTTCTTTAACATATAATTCAGAGTTGTAACCGGTCCGGTCCCGAACAGGACCGGTTGAACTGGTTAGACCGACCTGTTGTTACCGGTCCAGGTGAACCAGATAAACCGGCCGGTTTTCGCCAGTTTTGCCGGTTTAAAAAATTTTTCTTCTATTTACAGTTTCCTCTGTTGAACTATGTCGAGAACGAATTTCAATATGTTTATCAAAAAAAAAACGAACAACGATGTTTCAGAAACTATCAGTCTTTTGTTTGTATATTTACCTATGCTTCTTTATCTCTTGGATCAAACTAAACTTCAATGTGAACAAAGCACAATCAAATTATGTTAGTCAAAAGTTATTTCCAAATATAACTTCATCGATGTTTTATTTGTGATCGTATTTGAGATTGAAGAGTAAATGTAAGAGAAACATTAAGTATTTTCGAGAAATTTTAACAGAAGGTTTCAACACTTGACGTCTGGCAGAAAGTTGTTGCATAGATCGACTCTTTTTGATGCTGAAGAAACATCACATATTCATCTTTAGGAAATCTCAAAGTTATAAGTGACTCTGGCACGGTTTTTTCTCTCTGAGACTGTCAAAGATAATGGGAAATCAAAGAAAAGCTAGTTGTTCTTAATGTTACTGCATTTAGCGAATTAATCTTACTATGTAAGACCGACCAGTTTTTACCGGTTTGCGAAAACTCTTGAAACCGGCCGGTTCTTTGCCGGTTTTTACCGGTTTGAGAAAATTTTGAAACCGGCCGGTCCGGACCGGTCTGAAAATTTTAGACCGGTTACAACTCTGATATAATTAATCGTAATGAAAATAAATTCAAATATTTAATAAATGAAATTAGTACGGTACATGCTGTATGCCAAAATATATGAAATGTTGCTTTTGTACGACTGTTTTTAATAATAGTAGAAATGTAGCGATAATTCCAAATGACTTATATGCATACTTAAGGATACCTCACCTTCTTTTTGACACATTTCTAATTCTCGAGAAGGGTTGAATTGATCGAGTTGAAATTTTTACCACAAATAGTACACCAAAAATAAGTAGACACATGTATGAGGAAAAATATTTCGAAGTGGACTTTTGCCGTTTTTCTGGGAAACTCTGTTTTTCCATAGAGTCGCATCCTAGTTGCTTACAATTCTCGTCAAATTTTATCCACTTGGGCTAAAATCTTTTTTTCGAGATACCTGAGACTATATCTCAGAGGTAATTTTAAGCTGTTTCAAAAATCTTATTTGCTTCTTTTTTTATGAGAGAAATACGTAAATGTTCGGTGCTAAAACCGAGATCTTGATTTTCAGAATCTTATAAGTTTGAGTAGGAAATTCAAAAATGAAAACGGCTAATTTTATCTTTAGAGAATACTTTTAAGTATCAATGATAAAAATTTCAGTTCGACTGAATAAAGTTGGATGGGATTGTTAGCAATCAGAAACTTCCAGCAAAAGCTGACTTCAGAATTCTGTTCCTTGAACACATAACTCCTTATTTTTGCTATTCTATCTGTAATAAAAATTTCAGCTGGATTGGTTGTACCATCGTTTAGAACTAGATACGGTCCAAAAAGAGAAGGGTGGGCAGTCTTGAGCTATGAACATCTAGAAACTTATCCTGAAAATTTCAAGTCATAACACTATTTCATTAATCAATTATTGAATTTTTACAAAAGATCGAAATCTAATATGTATGATTTCGTTTTGCATTGAATTTCTGTTTTGTCTCTATTTACGCTGGAATGTGTTCAGAATAAAAACGTTTCTGTTTAGAAGCGTTTTTTTTCAGCTCTATATATTACAAAAGAAATTGATTCAAAAACTAAATCTAATAAGTGTAGAAATTAAATTTCATAAACGGGATAAGTTTGTTTTGTTTTAGCCCATTCTCTACAAAAGTAAGATCATTCAATTTTCAAAATTAAATATCCAAGCTTTTGACAAATACGTATAATTCACTAAAGAATAATCGATTTTGATAAATATAAAATTTTTTAATCAAAAAAAAAAACCGATCAACCATTTATAGAATTATAAATATACAAAAAAAGGAAAGAAATTTATACAAAAAATAGAAGAAAATAATAATTTTTTTTTTAAATATCTCTAAGTTAATGAATTTGCTCGATCTTGTTCATTGAGTGCATCAAGCTAAAGAAAAAAAGAAAAAAAAAAAACAAAACTCTTTTAAATAAGATTGATATTCATACTTCAGCATTAACAACATCTAATATAGACATCCAAGCATCTTCATCATGTAAACTTTCATCAAAAATTGATATATTTCCAATGTGTCTTGATACAGGTGTACTTGGCTTTTTCGGACTACTTGAATAAGATTGATTTAACGAGATATTATCAGATTCATTCAATTTATCTTCTTGTAATTCATCTTTATAAATAAAACAATTCAATATAATACAACAAGTAATCAAAAAGTTTATAGACAAAGATGTTTGTTCACTTTTGATCTGCTAGAAAGTATTTCTGACGATATTCCAAAACTATAATTTTATGCTCTTTTCGAATATGGACTTAGAAATTTTGGCTTAGTTTTTTTGTTTAAGAATAGTAAGGAACTTTTTAAAAGACTTAAATCAATTATTTTAGGTTTTTGTTTATCTTATAAGTTTCTTTTTAGACATGCTAAAAATTATCACAATCAGTCATTTTGTAGAGCGGACACTTCTCTATAAAATATCACATTGAACTAAGTTGTAGCTTTTATTCAAGAGTTTCTTTCAATGCAACAAATTTGTGGATTTTTTTGAAAATGAGTATTTAGGAAAAACGAAAATTGAGGTACCTTGTCGAATGACAAAGAAAAAAAATTCCAATAGTGTATTTTGTAGAGTAGCTTCTGATCTACAAGCTGATATATAAATAAAGATTTCAGCTGTTAGTTTTGAATTGCATTAGTAAAAATACAAAAATTTTTTCATTACTCTCGAACAAAAGTTGAGACAAAATTTCTAAGTACATATTCGAAAAGAGCACCAAATCATAGTTTTTGATTCGTCGGAAATATTTTCTTTCTAGTGGATCGAAAGTGAACAAAAATATTGTCTCAAAACTTTCCGATCATTTGTTCTATATATATATATATTTCATAAATACCAGTTATTGCTTTCAGTTGAATCATTGATGTACGAGATACAGGTCGAGAAGTAACTCCTGTTGAAATTACTTTAGGTACTGTTCTATTTGAAGGACTTGTTGGAACATTAGCAGATGTCATTGGTTTTAGAGGAAGATTTGAAGAAAAATCAGGATCATATATTTTTGCATGATCAACAAATCTCACTTGACTAAATCGAAAGAAAATAAATTTCAAAAGAAAAAAAACAAAAACTAGAAAAAATCATACTGAAAAAGTTCAGCTGGTTTTATATCAATACAATTTTGACCATTATAATCAGTATTAGCAGTTGTACTATTATGAATTCGAGAAATAGTTGTATTATTATCATGTTTAGATTGTAGAATTGTTGCTGTTCGTTGAAATACTTGACTTCGAGGTGTTTCACTATTGATTACATAGAGAAAAAGAAAATCAATCACAATTATTTTCTTTTTTCTTTGTACCTTTTATTCATTAGATTTGTATCATTAAAAAGATTAATATGTGATATAGTAAGACTTTTTGAATGTATAAATCGACGAGAAAAATATACAATAATTAGAATTAATATTAATACAAATAAAATACCTAAAAATAAAAAACATATTAAATTTTCTTTCGAAATCAAATTTTTTTTTTAAACATACTTAAACTACAAATAAGACCAATTTGCCATGAATTCAAACCTGATGAAATTATTGGCATTTCTAATTGACTATTACTCATTGTTGTCGATCCAAATAATGAAATTATAGTTGTAAGAAAATTTTGACTAGAAAAATCAAAGACAAAATAAATAAGATGTTTAATTATTTGGTTTTTTTTTTATTTCAACCTGCAAGTAACATTCCATCTATTTGGTAGTAAAGTACATATTGGATGTGTTAAATTTGTTAGACACAAAGGATCTTGTGCAGCTTGGGCACTTGAACAAGCATCAGATTTGGCAGCTTAATATAGATAAAGAAAGGAAAAAAGAATCGATTTCCTTCTAATTTTATTCTTAAAATATTTATAGAAATTAAATTTTCCTCGAACTTAAATATGCTGAGAATCTAAACACTGTTTATAATGCTTGAAGAAGAATACTCATTGACATTATGTCCTCTAGGATATTGTAAGATTAACTTATGAAATTTCTTTTTTAATAATCAGTTCGATATAATTTGAAGTACTCTTGAATTTTTCATATACACTAATTTTCAAAAACTATACATACTACCGAGTTCTATATGTTTCACAATTAGTTTCCTTCGAAATAGCAAGGACTCATTGTCAGATTGTTCTCTACAATAATTTATTTTCCTATATGGAGAAGTCGCATATTTATATAAATGACTTGTTTAAATAGAGAAAAAAAAACTTTTTGACCTCCAACTCCCCGGAGAGATGTACAGGAATAAGCTTATAACAAGGACATTTGTTATATTACTATTTCTTTTCCAAATATAGATTACGAGTATGAAGGAGTAACTTGTACATGGAACTCTAGAATAATCTATAAATAACTTATATTCATTTTAGAATTAAATTTTTTTTTTTCATATTATCTAATCTTCCTTCAGGGATTCAGAAGTCAAGAAGTTCTTTTTGTTCCTGTTCAAACAAGTTGCACTTAAAATTGTATCGAGCTGATTATCCAAAAAAGAAAGAAATTTTATAAATTCATCTTATAATATCCTAGGAAACATAATCTCTATGAGTATCTCCCTTCAAGCATAATTGATGATGAATAATTCACAGTAAAATAACGTTTTTTTTTTTTTTTTTTTCTAAAATGATTTATTAGAATTTATCATTCAAAATATAAGCAAATGTAACATTTGAATTCTAATTACTATAATAACCATTGACTTACTATTATTTACAGTGATTGATGAAAAATTAAAATATGATTCTCGATCAATTATAAAACCATTGAATTGATAATTATTAGCATTTATATAATCATAATAAATAGAAGCTTAAAAGAAAGTAAAAACAAAAAAAACAATATTGTCAATATTTTATCAAATTTTACCAAATAAAATTTGAATTCGTATTGAAATTGATTGAGTAAAAGTAATAATTTGTTCAAAATAATTTCCGTTTCTTCTCGAACAACTAAATCGAAATAAATAAAAAAAAACCACAACAACAAATTCTATATTAATACAAAATTAAAATCGATAATTTACTTAAAATTACTAATTGAAATATTAAAAAAAAGATTTGATGTAAGATTTGAAATGTTATTTTGATATAAATTTCTAAGCTTCAAGAAAAGTAAATTAAAAAAAAAATTAATAATTTATTTTATCAAATTTACATACATCATATATAGTTTTATTTAAATCTAATGTTGTATTATCACAGCTTGATAATCCGGTTGTTACTAAAATAACACGATAGAATTTTCTTAATTAGGTTTTTCTTTCTAGAATTATTATTCTACAGATAATAACAAAGAATAAAGACTGAACTATTTTCAAGATAATTATAAATGAAGGTTATTTCATTCTTTCAGAACATTGAATTTGTTAAGATTAATTATAGAAGGAATAAGATTTATTTATAGAATATTAATCTACAAGTGATCCTTGGAAGTTAGTCTATTCATACACTTATAAGAAAATGTAATTGCATTTTATTATATATATATATAGATATGATTGAAATATTAGAAAATAATATTCTTTTTCATCAATCTTTTTAGAAACATTTGTGTAATATTCTGTTATCATTAATCATACCTGTAATAGTATTTGCATCAGGCATCACATAACTACTATTAATAGCCATTTTCTTTTTGCTTTTGTTAATAATATATTTATACAAACTATTGCACGTTGTGTTTTCTAATTGATTATTTGTCTTTTTTTCTTTTAAATAAAGCCTTATCGATTAACCATATTTTAGCTTTATTCAAATATGTAAGTAAATCATAATTTTCATTAAATCTTCAAATTTCTCATTTTATAATCAGCATGTTATAGGAAGTTCTTTTATATAAAATTTATGAAAAATAGAATTAATAGAAATAAAGAATAGAGAAAAGAACGAAGAAAATTTTCTTTTGCATTGTTTGTTAAAAAAAAGAAATTCAAAAATTTCTATCATTTTCTTTTTTTCTTTTTCTTTACCTCAAACTCTTTTGATTCAACGCCTTTCTCAGACATTTTACTATTACAAAGAAGACAGAAAAAAAGTATGTGTTCATGTGTTAATAATATAAATATATTTTCTACTCGATTTTTTTTTCTCGTTTCTTTTCTTTTTTTTTTTCTTCCATAAATATTTCTAGTTTTTGATGTAAAAATTATTTCAGCATTTTGTTTTCTTTTCTATTCAGTTTTTTGTTCTAATGCTCATATATCTAAGTGTTTGTATTTGTATTAAATAAATTGATTAATTGTTTGGTTAGTAAAGAGAAAGAAAACATATTTTCTTTACAAAATATGCCTACGCATTACTTCGTACAATACATACAAAACAACGAAAATCTATTTATCTAGTTTTCTTCATTAGTATATATATATAACAATTTCAAAAAACAGAAAGAAAAACAAAAGACAACAAAAACAAATAAGCAATTTTTCAAAAAAAACAACCTGATAGTTATTCCTCCGAAGCATTTTGCTCTTAAAAAAAAAAGAAAAAGTAAAAATGAAATAAATCTTTGGAAGAAATAAAAGTTCGACTAGTTTACTATGCACTTAAGATCAAAAAACAAATTATATGAAATGAAATCGCGAAGTCTTTTCAATTTTTATTACGAAGTAACAAAGTATATATATAAATAGATGATATTAAAAAGAAAATTATTAATTACAAAACTAATTATATTGCATGAAAAATACATTGATTTAGTTATATATAATTGAATTTTGAAATAATATATTGACATCATTCAATTGTTAACTAATATTAGAAATATGTATAGTTAATAATTTGATGATTATTCTTTATTATCAAAACAAAACTATGACATATTTCTATTTCAACAATCTTTGAACTTATTCTATAGAATTTTTTTTCCCGATTTTAATAATGTATATATCCTATTATATTATCAATCGAATTTGACTGATTATTATGGAATGATAATTATAAGTTTCATAATTCTATGCATTTTCATCTAAGCATATTAAATGTACTTAGACATTGTCTGTCAATTCTTTTTCAAATATGAACTATCATTTATAATATATGCGCATCTATTGTTTTATAATGTTCAAAAACAGACATCAAGTGTATACGCTAGAAAAGAAAATTAGAAATATAATAATTGATCTTTCAGAAAAGATTCATGTTAATTTATCAGTAGACTTTTTTTTTGTTTTTTTTTTTTTGCTGATTCTTGAATAACATATTATTATTAATAATAACAAAAATTTCCATCAATTTTCATGCAAATATTCTGACAAACTAATTTAAAATAAAAAGAACAATCGACTTTTTTTTATAACAACATGATTTAAAGTCGTAAAACTTCTGATAGACTTAAAATAGAAGAAAATCCTCTTTAGATTAATGACTTCAAAACAACAATAACAAAAAAAAAAAAAAACGTTTGATAGCAAGTAGAAGAATTATCTAAAGATATATATATATATATATATTTTTAAATAAAGCATATATATCAAATATAATCCGCTCAACAAAAAGTAATTTTTCTAATCTTATGACTCAATCTCACAGATATGAAACTAATATATATATATATATACATTAATATTTGGTTTGCAACAAAAAAAAAAAAAAAGATAAAGATCTTGAATTATAATAAAAATAAAAAAGACTAACAAACAAATAGGTCTCTATCATCAATTACATGAACTATATTATGCAAATCAGCAGATAAACAACAACAGCAAAAAAAAAAGATGATTGAATATTTAATATTTATCAATCGATTGAACCATAATTATATCAAGATCATTATTCAAATGATGACTACAAGAAAATTCTGATTCTTTTTTTTTTTTTTTTTTCTTTAAACCTTATTAATAATTCATATTTCGTACAACATTTATTTTTGAATAAAGATTATTTTTGTTTTTTTACAAAACAGAAACAACAAAAAAAAAAACAAAACAAAACAAAACATCAAAAGCTGAATTATTTAAAGTGATATTTCATCTTCTTTTGTTCGTCGACTACAAACACTTGAACGTGTTTTAAAACTTGATCGATGACTATAAGAACTAAGAGTTCCACGTCCACCACTCAAATGAGTTCGACGCATATTAACTGGCATATCAAATTCATTTGTTTCTAAATGTTTATATAATCCTTCAAATGGTACACTTTCTTGTGAATGACTTAAATGAATACGTTGATTATCATTATTATTATTTGTAACTGTTGATATTCTTTGATCAAGAATAACATGACTACGTTGATATCTTAATAAATATTTTAATGCACAACGAAAACGATAATTTGTACAAATAAAAACAAAAAATTTATATGAATAAAGTGATAATTCAAATGCTAAACCAATTGTTTGCATATGTGCATGTGCTGTAACAAGAACTTGATTTGATGATGAATATTCATCAATATTATTTGATGCAAATAAAACAATTAAACGTAAAAATTTACATGGTATTGATAAAAAAACAAATACAATACCAAGTGAAAATGCTGCATTATATGTACGAAGATAATCAGCTATTGGAGAATCATAACGTAATGAAATATTTTCTGTTTCAGAATAATGTGAATGTAATTCATTCCAGATATGTGCACCTTTACGAAATAATAATATTGATAAAATACATATTATTATTGTTGCTAATAATAAACCAAGACCAGTATAGCAAAAAACATTGACAATAACAGCTGTTGAATAAATGGATGCGTGTAAATCAACCATTTCTGCATTCATTAAACAATGACGATGAAATGTTACATTTGTTGTTGAATTATGTACGAAAGAAAGTGGTTCATTATATGACATCGATTCAATTGGTGGTACATTGAAAAGAGTGAATATGAATAATAAAACACAACTAAATATTAAAATTCTTCTTATTTTGATACATATTTTGAAATAATTAACTTAAATACTTACGCAAAGTTTGATGTATAAAGTGAACTACTTATATTTATTAAATTATGAGAACGGAAAATATAAAGTTTCCAATTACTATAGTTTATGTTTATACTCATAGAAAAAAAAAAAAAAATTTATCATATAAAGAGAATTCTCATCAAATTTTGCTGAAAAATATAAATTTATTTTTGAATTTTAATATACATAGAAAATTTTTCAAATCGATAAATAAATAGTTTATATAGAAGAATACAAAATATAGTTGATGATCTATTTCTGATTACAAGACTTGATTTTTTTTTTTTGAATTATATAAAATCTTAGTATTTTTATTTCAGATAATGATGGTATGACTTTGTTTTACTTTTTAGATTAATAATAAAATCAAAAGATTTATTTAAATATTCAAAATAGAATTTTACTTACACAGCATATTTAGCATTGACAATAGCAATAAATCGAAAGAATTTTGAATAAACAAGAAATAATCGATTAAGAAGAAGTAAAATAATTAACCAATGTGACATTAATGTTGATATTCGTATAATATATGTTAATAATTTACAACAAACAGTTGATATATTTATTAAACCAGTCATTATATCACTTTCATTTTCTGGTAATGCTTTATAACGTATAATTGAATTGATTAAATGATATGTCAATATAATTAAATCAAAACAAGATATTTCAACTAGAAAATTTTCAAATGTACGTTTTTCTCCACCTGATGAATGTCGTAATATATATCCATTACCAATTAACATAATACTATTTCCAAATAATCCAATCATAAAAAAAAATATTGTAATTAAAAGTGAACGATATTCAGTAAGATTTATATTTTCATCGGAACCAAATGGTGCATGATCATCATGATCAAATGTCCAGTTATTAGACATTATTTGTTAAGTAAGAAAAGAAACGAGAAAGAAGATTATTTTCACTTGATATACAGTTAAGATATTAAAAAAGATTCATAAGACGCGAAAATGATTGTTAGTCGGATACATGTGCTAGATTAATAATTGCATTTAGTGTTGTCATTTCATTCGACATGCAACAAGAATCAAGTCGCCGTCGTCATCGTTTTTCTCTTTTTTCTCCATTTTTTTGCTGTTATTTTTTTTTGTTCTTGTAAAGACTTATATGATGATAAATAGCTTACTGATTTGATTATTATGATCGAACAAGCTGTGGAATTGAAGATTTTTGAATAAATGGCCAAATGTTGTTTCGAAGATGATGTCGATTTTGATTATAAATTTTGCAAATCTCTTTCTTTTCTTTCTCTTCGTCTTCTTCTTCTTCGTCGTCTTCTTTTTCGTCTCCGTTTTTTTTTTATTTTCTCTTCTCTGTTTTTTTTTTTTTTTTTATTCATTAGTTTTACATAGATATAGAAAACAAGCAGTGTTATTATTGTTGTTATTATTATCTTTATTATTATAGCTATTTCTACTTTTACCCGGTGATCATTAAGCTCGATGTTCTATTTTGAACCTTTATTCAATAGTATTTCGTGACCGGATGAAAAGTAATAAAACACAATATCCGTTTGGATCTTCTTAGACTCAAAGAATAATAAATAGGAAGAGTATTGAAAGCGTGCTACATTGTTGATGAGAGAAAAGTGTTCTCTTATTTTTATTTTTTTCTCATCAATGGTTTTTGTTCTTGTTCAATAGCCAATTGATTCATTTTTAAATAATACATATACAAACATATCCTGTTTGTTAGTGATCAATATCATTGACAAATATATATATGTCTTTCAATTAGATCTATCTCAGTTTGTCTAGTACTTGTTATGCTTATTGATAGGGGGAAGAAATCAGAAAATCATAGCTAATGTATGTCATGCAATGATTCCAACTATAGCATCATTCTATGAATATATAATAAGATGTATAGTCCTTTTCCTTTTTATTGTCGTGATGTTATTATTGTTGTCATTTGAATACCAAAAACAAAACAAAAAAAAAATATAGAGCATAAGTAAAAGGAAAAAAAAACAAGACAGATGGAAAAAGAAGAATATATAAAAAATATGTCTTTTAAACAGTTGGATAGCTGGCAGCTGTAGCAATACCACATTGATTGCGTTTGTTGCGGCTCATTTTGATGTAACCATGATCACCCCAACCTTTACCCCAACTAGAATTAATTAACAGATAAAATAAATGGAATATTTACTAAAACACCAAAACCATATATGATAATTACCTGTTTTTAACAAGCCAATAAGCTTTGCCAGAATCTGTACCATAACCTACAGCGAGAACACCATGATCAAGACGAACTTGTGAGCAGAATGGTTCGTTGTAGACTAAATTAATCAATTTGTATGATTGAAAAATTCACAAAAATCAAAAAAATACATACCACCACGTTTATATAATTGAAATGTTATATGATTAGCATCAATAGCAACTGAGATTGGACCAACAGTAGCAACAGCTTGTTGAAGAGCACTTTCATCTTTTGATGTGATATCAGTATAGCCAGTATCTGTAGCACCAACATCTGATGCTTTGAATCGACATTGATTATCTTTAGCTTCATATGGATATGAATCTTCTTTATCAATACCACTATTCACTTTGATATATTCGAAAGCTTGATCCATTAAACCACCATTACAACCCATATTACCTTGTTTGCCTGAGCAATCGACTAAGTTTTGTTCTGAAAGTGAAACAAGTGTACCACTAGCTTTGAAGTGTTGACCTTCAAGAGCACCAGTTGCTGAAAATGCCCAACATGAACCACATTGAGCTTGATCTTTTACATCAGTAACATAACCTTTATCACGCCAATCTATAAATAAAAAAAAGAAGAAAAAAACAATAAAATTATTAATTTCTATTAATATTTATACATACCAACGGTATCTGGTAATGAAACATCTAGATTAAGTGTGAATTCTTGACGATTTTGAGTACGTTGACCATGCATTGTAGCATTGAAACCATTCATCATTTTAGCAAATTCAGTAATAGTCTATTTTTAATATACAAAATAAAATCTGTATAAATATCTTTAAAATTTTACCATATCAGCATATTTGTTCATTCCAAGCCAATATGTATGAACACCAAGATCAGCTTGAAGATTGTGATTTTGTACCGTTTTTAAGTTACTTTCCCATATAGCTCGACTATACAAAAAAAAACAATAAACAACATGAATTTTATATATTCAAAAATTAATATTTCATACCGAACGTGTTCTTCACCATCGGAATAATATTTATTATGCATATCTTTCCATAATTTCCAATGTTCATTAAGTGTAACATCGACAGTTAATGCACAGCTAAAAGCAAGTGCGAAAATAACAAGAATCGAAATCGATTGCATCTATATCGACAATGCAAAAAAAAAAAGAAAGAAGAATCCAAATTGTTATAATTTAAAATAGAAATTTTGATTTTTATCTCATCATTTACTCACCTTCATTTATGATATAATAGAAGATAATATTTTCTAATAGTCAAGTATGGCAAACTTTTATACTTTGACTTTATCTTATGTCACATATGTTTTAATATCATTATCTTTCATGATAGAGCACGCTTTGTCATTATTCTAATGCATAGTTTTAGGTTAATTTTTTCGTTTTGTATTACATATTGACTCAGCAAAAAAAAAAAAAAGAACTTGGAAAAAAAAGAAAATCAATGTATACGAAATACCATCGTCAAGATGAAGCCACAGTTTTTTTTATTTGTATGCCGAAAAGAAAAAAGAAAAAAAAAGAAAAATCTAGAAGCACTCTGTTATACGCGATAGAATTATTTCAAGATTCAAGAACATTTTCAAATGTATATGGATTTGATGTTACATTAGATTGTCCTGTACTATTCATTGGTTCCATTGGTGATCGTTTAGTTCCACCATTACCATCTAACATACGTTCCATTTGTCGAATTGTATGTTCATTTTTAATCATTTTATCTTGTAATTGATGACGTTCATAACCCAAATTTGTTAAAACCGAATCTTTTTCAATTAATAATTCTTTAATACGTTGATTTTCTGTAAGTGTATTTGCATGCATTTTACGTAATTGTGTTAATTGATCAGTTAAACCCATTAAAGCATCTTGCATTTTCATAGCTTCTTCATTTTTCATAAAAGCATCAACAGATTTTAATTTTTCAAGTTCAAGTGCTAAACGTTTTTGTTTTGTATTTACAGAAACAAGTTGTTTAGCAAGAAGATCATTTTCTTTACGATATCCATTCTATAAATAAGAAAGAAAATCATAATATTATTAAATTTTATTATCTTATTTTTCTATTTTTACATACAACATATTCAAGTAATTGTTTATTTTCACTATTTAAATGATCACATTGTTTACTTTGGCCATGTAATTGTTCCATAGCTGTTTTATTTTGTATCTGAAGTTCTTTTAATTTTTGCATTAATAATGTTAATTTATTTTTACTATCAGTATCTAATGCATCACGTTCAGTTTTAACTAATGTAAAACGTTCTTGTAACATAGCAGCATTAGCTTCTGAACTAAAAAAAAAATAAATAAATAAATTATGTGAATATCAAAAAAGAATAATATTCATTTTTCTTTTTTTTTTTAATTTTATTCTTTCTTACCGTCTTAAATCCACTTGTAAATTATTTGTTCGACCATTTAAAAAGTCAACTTTTTCGTCCGCAGCTTTTTTTCCAGTAGCTAATTCATTTACTTTACCATTTAATCGTACAGTTTCTTTTTCAAGTGAATCACGTGCATAAACAGCTTTAGTTAATTCTTCTTTAAGTAATGTTGCATCTCGCATAGATTTTTCTAAATTTTGTTTAGCTATATAATATTTTTCTTTTAATAATTCAAGTTCATTTATTAATGCTTGATTTTGTCCTTTTAAATCTTCATTATTACGTGTTAATGTATCAATCATTAAACGCATTTCACGATCTGCTGTTTTAAAACTATGTAAAAACAAAAAACACACACATGATAAATCTAAAGAAAGTTTTTCTCTAATTTTTTTTTTAATTTCATTTTACCGTTCTTCCATACGACGATAATCTTCAACAATTTTTTTTGTTGTTTCATATTCACGTGCTAAACGATCTAATTCAGTTTTTAATGTTTGATTATCTTGTTCAAGTCGTTGATATTTTGAACGAATTTCACCAAGGCGATTACGTGCCAAATACATTAATTTATCATGTTTATCTTGTAATTTACCCAATTCAATACCTAATGCACCATTTTCTTCCGTTAAACGTTCATTTTGAAACCATAAATCATAATTTTCAGCTTTAAGTTGTACTGCTTTTGATATAGGTTGTTTACTTAATATATTGATTCCAGAATTTCGATTAATTACATCTTGACTTACTTTTGGATTTGTTACACGATATTCAAGATCAGCAAATGGATCTGTTCGGTCATCTATATTCGTTGCCATGTAATAATGATAACCTAAATAATAATAAATCAATTTTAGTTAAAATTGAAAGACAAAAAAAAAAACATAATGAAATATAAAGACATACATTTCTCCATTTAATTTTCATGTTACTTTTATAAAAAAAAAATGAAAAGAAGTTTCGAACTACTAACTGTTTTTTTATATCATAATGAAAACAGAAGGGATTCTCTGACATTTATTAAGAAAAAAAACGTATCAAATCAACTATTGAGTCTCGCTAATCATTCAATTCGGTTACCTGCGTGTGTTCCTCTTGTCTTGTCGTTTGCACACCACCAAAAAAAAAATATAATTTAAAATGCAAATTTCTCGATTTTTTTTCTCGCTCTCTCTCTCTCTCTCTCTCTCTCTCCCTTTTTCCTCTTTTTTCTTGTGTATGACAACTATAGTAAAAGTAAAGAAGACAAAGAATGAATGGCTGCTTAGTTGCTGTAACATTCAAACAAATCTTAAAAAAAAAAATTGAAACGGCTTCATTGACAAGAAAAGGAGAAAAAAAAAATGAAAGGGTGTCGTCGATGGTAGCCAAAAACAAAAAACAAAATAAGCTAACATTAAAATAATTTTTCTTCTAGTTAAGTGGTATATTTCATTATGTGAAATCAACAAAATCAATAATGAAATTTCAAAATGTGAATTTATATATGATCAGACATTGAGACAAAAAAAAAAAGAAAAGAAAAGAAAAGAAAAACGAAATTTGAGTCGAAAGAAAATAGTTCACGAGTGAATACGAAGAGATAACATTTTAAACCAAGGCAAATTGCATTTGTGGAATACGAACAATTATAGAAGAATGCATAAACGTTCGATAGAAAAAAAAAATATGATTATAGTTTATGAGTTATATGTCAAAGAACACCGGAAACTTAAAAGCAGCACATTTTATAATGACATATATTTCCTTGAAAATAATGAAACTCAAATATATTTTTCTTTGCTCAATTACTAGAGCATCAATATGTAAAATAATTCTTCATTTATTGTAAAGACAATGAATTAAATTTTGATTGTCATATGCAATAATTTAAAAAGAGAAAAATCATTGCAAACTATTAAATTTTAGTGCTTCGAAGAAAAAAACATAAGTTAAGAGGTTTTAATCAATGTGAATTGGAACCTTTTTTTAAGTATGAATAGAGAGAAGTTTTTTTTTTTTTTTTTTATGTAGTTCTTCTATTGAAGAAAAATATCTGATTTGATTTGTCTATGGAAACATCGAGTCTTTTTTTATAAGATGTAAAATTATGCTTTTTTTGTATTGTAACCGGATCGGTCGTTTTTTTTCCCGTTGTATTGCTGTTTTGTTGATCGAGGCCACTTATTTTACGAACATTTGTTTTCTATTAATAGATATGCGATATATCTTTTATTGTTGTGGTATTATATAAAAGATAAATAAAATTAATTTTGTACTTGTGAGAGTATTGCCAATAGCATTTCTTGAACCTTACTTCATTTCATATAATTTTAGAAAGTATTTTGAACTCAGAGTCTTTCATTGAATTTCATTTTTAATTTAGACTTTGCTCTATTTTGTGGACATTGACACTTTTTAGACCAATGCCATAAAAGTAGAATAATTTACTAAATATAATGCATGACCAATCAACGTGATTTTCATGTAGACAATGTTTTATCCAAGTTTTCTCTTCCGGAAGAGCGATTTAAAACTTATTTTTTTTTGGGAACACAGACGTATATTCTGTCCAATGAACTTTACAAAAAAGATAAATCGATCTCGATCAATTATAAACTAGGAATCTTATAAAAGATTATAGGATGCGCCGATTTCTATATATTATAAATACAAAAAAATACAATACATACAAGGAAAATCTTTTGTTGAAATTTAATCAGTCGTACGAATATTTTGATCATGATAGTTGATCAATGATTGGATAAAAATCTAATATTACTGATGTTATTCTTGAATTCTTGATTTATATTCTTTGCATTACTCTGTAA